AGCAAGCCCGCCGCTGGGCTGCGGGCCAGTCATCCCCCAGATCTGGAGTGCCTGCTCTTCCAGGCAAGGGAGATAAAACAATCCCCAAATCCAACAACACCCAGCCTTTCCGGAGCTCCCCACTCTCGTGTTCAGGGGTACCGTCGATAAACCGTTAGCAATGCGGAGAGGCACGGGCCACCAGGTGCTCACCCTGTCCTCAGCCCCACGCATAAAACTAGCTCATTCTCTCCTCATAACGACACTGCGAAGTCTGTACTGTACCCATTTTACAGATGAGACAGCTGAGGCACAAAGAAGTTAAACGACTTGCCCAAGGTCCTAAGGAGTGTGCAGCTTTGAACTCAGGCAGTCTAGTTCTGGAATCCATGCTCCTTACCGTGGTGTAAACAGAGGACCCTGGTGGGGACCTAGCACCACGTGGATGAGTCAAGCAGAGACAGGGACCCCCGCGCCCTGGGCGTTTTACACAGGAAACCACTCTAGTGAGAGCAGAGACCGGAAGGGAGTAGGGGAGAGAGCTGTGGCATAAGGGGAAAGAAGGTTCCAGAGAAGGAGCCGCAGGGGCAGGTTCTGAGTTTCCCAGGAACAAGGAGGGCCCTGTGAGGGCCGTGGTGTAGGGGCGAAGCAGTTCAAGGACGGGCCTTCCGAGAGGTGCAGAGGGCAGTGTGATGAGGCAGTTGCTAATGAGTGGGCAGTCTTCAGTGCTTCATTGTGAAACCCTCGGTTTTAAGACTTGTTATCATCTCTGAATGTGGTAAGACAGGGGATTCCAGAAAAGTCAAATGTCAGAGTAAAACTGCGGGGCAGCTCCCCACACGTCGGGAAAATGAAAGCTGAAGAACGTAGAGGGCCCATCTGGAGACTCCATGTTTACGGGGAAGCCTTTCTTCTGGTCCACCTGTCAGTTGGGGTGGACCTGCCCTTCCTGCTCGGGCCCTTGGTGCTTCCTCCCTTAGCTGATGTCTGGATCTTGGAGATCCAGGCGCCAGGAGATGGCTCCTCCCCAGAGACAGGGGCATGGTGAAGGGCACCGTGGCAGGCAAGATAATGGTCCCCAAAGATGTCCACGTCCTAAGCCCTGGAGCTTGTGGCTGCATGACCTCGTGTGGGAAATGGGACCTTGCAGGTGTGACCAGGGGTCCTGAGATGGCAAGATGATCCCAGATGGTAGGGCTCCATGGTCCCAGTGTCATCACAAGGGTCCTCAAAAGATGGAAGAGGGAGGCAAGGGAGTCAGACCAGTGTGGTGACAACATGAAAGGGAATTGGCCTGGTCTCCTCAACACAGAGTCCTGGGGAAACTGGACAGCCACATGCAGAAGAATGAAACCGGACCAGAAGCTTTCTCACACCGTATGCAAAGATAAGCTCAAAATGGATGAAAGACCTAAATGTGAAACAGGAATCCATCAGAATCCTAGAGGAGAACGCAGACAGCACACCCTCTTCGACTTCAGCCACAGCAACTTCTTGCTAGACACGTCTTCAAAGGCGAGGGAAACAAAAGCAAAAGTGAACTACTGGGACTTCATCAAGATAAAAAACTGCACAGCAAAGGAAACACACGACAAAACCAAAAGGCAGCCTCCAGAATGGGAAAAGATATTTGCAAATGACATAGCTGATAAAAGGTTAGTATCTAAAATCTATGAAGAACTTACCAAACTGAATGCCCAAAAAGCAAGTAATCCAGTTAAGAAATGGGCAGAAGACATGAACAGACATTTCTGCAAAGAAGACATCCAAACGGCCAAAAGACACATGAAAAATACTCCACGTCACCTGGCAAGAGGGAAATACAAATCAAAACCACAGTGAGGGGCGCCTGGGTGGCTCACTGGGTTAAAGCCTCTGCCTTCAGCTCAGGTCATGATCTCAGGGTCCTGGGATCGAGCCCCACATCGGGCTCTCTGCTCAGGAGGGAGCAGGCTCTCTCTGTCTGCCTCTCTGCCTACTTGTGATCTCTCTGTCAAATAAATAAATAAATAAATAAATCTCAAAAAAAAAAAAAAAAACCACAGTGACATACCCCCTCACACCGTCAGAATAGCTAAAATTAACAACACAGGAGATGACAGATGCTGGCGAGGATGCGGAGAAAGGGGAACACTCCTACACTGTTGGTAGGAACGCCAGCTGGTACAGCCATTCTGGAAAACAGCATGGAGGTTCCTCAGAAAGTTAAAAACAGAGAGGCACCTGAGTGACTTAGTCAGTTGAGCACCAGCTCTTGATTTTGGCTCAGGTGATGACTTCAGGGTCGTGAGATCGAGCCCCGAGTCGGGCTCTGAGCTGCACAGTCTGCTTGGGATTCTCTCTTTCCCTGACCCTCTCCTTTCTCTCTCCAATAAGTAAATAAATAAATAAGTTATTTTTTTAAGTGAAAAATAGAACTACCCTTTGGTCCAGCAATTGCACCACTATTTAGCCAAAGGGTACAAAAATACAGATTCTTACAGGCACAGTGTTCCTAGCGGCAGTGGCAACAATAACCAGACTGTACGGAGAGCCCAAATGTCCACCAACTGAGGAATGGATGGAGAAGACGGGGTCTGTGTATGCGGTGGAATGTCACTCCGCCATCCAGAAGAATGAAAGCTTGCCCTTTGCAGCAATGTGGATCTAGCTGGAGTGCGTGATGCTAAGGGAAAGAAGTCAGAGAAAGACAAACGCCGTGTGACATCACTCATGTGGCATTTAAGAGACAAAATAGATGAACACAGGGGAAGAAAAAGAGAGAGAGAAAAAAACCCAAAGCATTGGAGACTCTTAACAATGGAGAACAAATTGAGGGTTGGTGGAGGGAGGTGGGTGGGGGATGGGCTGGGTGGGGGATGGGCCTTCAGGAGAGCCTGTGTTGTGATGAGCACTGAGTGTTTTACGTAAGTGATAAATCACTGGATTCTACCACTGAAACCAATACAGTAAACACTGTATGTTCACTAACTAGAACTTAAATATTTATTTTTTTAAAAGATTTTATTTATTTATTTGACAGAGATCACAGGCAGGCAGAGAGAGGGGGGAAGCAGGCTCCCTGCTGAGCAGAGAGCCCGATGCGGGGCTCGATCCCAGGACCCTGGGATCATGACCTGAGCCAAAGGCAGACGCTTAACCCACCAAGCCACCCAGGGGCCCCTAGAACTTAAATATTTAAAAAGGGGTACCTGGGTGGCTCAGTCAGTTAAGTGTCTGATTCTTGATTTTGGCTCAGGTTGTGATCTCAGGGTTCTTGGGATCAAACCCATGTCAGGCTCTGGGCTCAAGGCAGAGTCTGCTTGGGTTTCTCCTCTCCTCCTGCCCCACCTGCTCGTGCTCTCTTCCTTGCTCTCTAAAATAAATCACTAAATCTTCAAAAAAAAAATTTTTTTAGAAAAATAAATAAATAAATGGGTAGTCACTTAAAAAGAGAGAGAGAAAAGGAATCAGCCCACTGTTGCCAGGGGAAGGAGTCAGAGCCAAAGAACATGGGCTGCTTCTAGAAGCCATTTCTGCCCCAGAACTTCCAGAAGGATCCCAGCCCTGCCAACACCCAGATGCTACCTGAGGAAGAGCAGTTTCAAACTTCTCATCTCCAGAACCGTAAGCAGTCGAGCTGGGTTGTTTTAAGACACTGAATCCGTGCCACCTCATCTCAACATCCATGGGAAACTGCGGGTCTCTGACGCTGCTGAGCACCGGGCCCTAAGGAAGTCCTCCCCCCGGGGGGCGCTGTCCAGTGCTCACTGCGCTCTGGGGTCTGCGGACCACGCACAGCAGCCACGGGGAGCAAGCTGGGCCTGCCCAGCAGAGCCTCCTTCCAGGCAACCCCAGCCTGCCTGCCTTTGGCCCTCTTGCAAATTGGCAGAAGTGCTGGTTGAATAAGGATTATTCTGGAACTGGGGCCCTCCTGAGCTCAGGGCTGTGGAGACAGCAGGCATTCCGGAGGTAAACAAGTGGCCACGGACTCTTAGTAACACGCCTTTCAGAGGAAGAGCCAGACAGACACCACTCTTGAGATGGGATGCGTTTCCCGAAAACATACGGTTCGAGTTTCCTGCTCTGAATTCTGGAGCAGCACGTTTTTCAAAACCCTTCTTTCCACCTGGGCGTTGGTCACTCATCTTCCATCTCAGAGAATGGCCCGCCAGGATCATGTTTTCTTGCAAGAGAAGAGCCTGTGGCAGTTGTGGTCCCCAGCCCAGTCCAGGTCACCCCAGGAGGGCGGCTCTGACCTTGGCCTTGGCTCCCCGGGGAAGGGAGCCCTGTTTGTAGCCCTCAGCCTTCACCGTGCCTGAGAATCAGCTGGGAAGCTTGTTGGAGATGTGGATTTCTTGGTCTGGGGGGTGGGCTGGGGGTCTGCGCTTTAAGCAAGACCTTGGCGACTGTGATACTGGGGGTCCTTGAGGAACACCGCAACCCTTACGAAGCCCCAAGGACATGTCTCACCCTCCACGTGCCTTTGGGCTTTGCACACTTGGCTTGGGGCATGCATATGTGTGTGTGTGTGTGTGTGTGTGTGTGTGTGTGTGTGCATGGAGGTTTACCAGACGCTCCGTCGGTACAAATGCACGTCTGCAACTAAGGCTAGTCTGGGGCCAATGCGTGTCACGTGGCCACCGACTCAGCATTCACTTACAGACAGTACTGCTGTTTACCCCTCGCTCCTGAAGAAGACGGTGAGCCCAGACTGTCAAGTTCACCTGCCCAGCCACACGTGCTTATTCGGGATAGAACATGGATTCCAGTGGAGCCGGACTCCGGCGCCCGGGCCCCGTTCCTAAGAACTGCAACCTGCGGGCCCCAGGCCTCTCTTTCCCACCGGCTGTGTCACTGGTGCCATACTTAGTCCGAGGCCAGGGCGAGGGGACATGCGTCAGGCAATAACCGTTTCTGCACTTGGACAAAAACGGAGTTGTGTGTTTAAATATTGTTGTAATCCGATTTTTCTCTCTCAACCCTCCCCCACCTTTCTCTCTCCCCTCTGCCCCCTTCTCTTACTCCCTGCCCCTTTCAAGACTCTCTCTCCCAGCTGCCAGCTCCTCGAAACCCGAAGGTTCACCTGTACAACGCCGAGCAGGTTTTGACTTGGGAGCCGGGGTCCCTGAGCAATGACAGCAGGCCGGTGGTCTACCAGGTGCAGTACAAATAGTAAGCCGGATCCTTCTGTTGGCGTCCTTGCGGGAAGGGGTGCGGGGAGCCTCGGGCCTGCGGCTCTGGCTTGCCTCTTGGCAGGATTGCCGGCAAATCCACTGGAAACAGATATTCCTCTTGTACTTTTAAAATCTCCAAGGACAGAGATTTCACAACCTCCCACTCATGCGAAGGCTTAAACGGCACTGGTGTCGCAGAGACTGGGCTGCCTACCTATGGGGCTTCTTAGTTGGGGGACGACTGTCTTCTCTTTGGGTTCAGGAGAGGTTTGTGGAAGACGGCTTCCTGTCTTGAAAGGGCAGGAGGCACCTTGTAGCCTTCATCTTCCTCAAGTTTGAAATATCTGGTTTATCGAACTTTGCAGGCCAGATTTGGCCTACTAAAGAAAGTATTCACTTAATCGCTACTAATTCTCGATCTCTAAAAGGGGTTTTCCATTTCACACGTTCTTCTGGCCCCTCATTCTCTCTCTCACCGGCTTTCACACTTTCTCATCCCTTGGTGTACAACAGAAACACACAGGGGAAGAAGTAAGACAAAATCAAAGTCCTCGGTGGTTATGTGTTTACTGTGTTACAGAGGTTAAGAGAAGACGAAGTTTAAAATTATTGGCCAAGTCATTTTGTATTACTAGTCACACAAAATGTAAGGAAATGGTAATGCTCTGTGCTTGGGAGAGTGTGGTTGATGGAGATCGTGCTGGGTGAGAGGGTGAGTTAGCCCAGCCCTCCTCCCGCAGCGTTAGACACTGGACAGATCAAGTCACAGAAATGCCCACGTTACTTTCCCCCAACATAGCTGATACAAGCTCCCATCAGAAAAAGATAAAGAAATGGGTGCCCAGGTGGTTCAGTCGTTTAAGCATCTGACTCCTGGTTTCAGCTCAGGTCATGATCTCCTGGTTGTGGGATCAAGCCCCGCATCAGGCTCTCAGAGTGGAATCTGCTTCAGATTCTCTCTCCCTCTCACCCATGTGCTGTCTCTTTCTCTCAAATAAATAAATAAGATTTAAAAAAAAAAAAAGAAAAGAAAAGAAAAAAGAAGGAAGAACAAAACCACTCATATTCATGAAGATAGATAGACATTGAAGTATACATTCGTGTCCATCAGCAGAAAAATGCCAAATTGTGTCATGTTAACTAGTCATTGAACATTCGGGAACTATTAAAAAGGATAATCTGGTAGCGGTTGCAACTGTGTAAAATCTGGACCATATCTGTGGTCAAGAACAGGGAAGGAACCTGGAAAAATTACGGGCACTTAATTTGTAAGAGGAGCGCATTTCCAGATGACTTCGTTTTCGCCTTCAAATGTCCATTGTAACAACATTTGCTAAATAAGAATAGATTCTAAACCAGGGTTTACAGGTTATGTCTGAATTACATTTAGCTGTTCCTCAAGTAAGTACAAAGCAATCTACAGTAAGCGGACAGATCCACAAGGACCAGGTACATAATTTGTGGATCTAGCACAAAATGAAAATGGTGCAAGGCCCCTTGCTCAGAATTACTGAGAATTTCAAGATGGCGGCAGCCACGCATCAAATTGAGTGACTCCTCAGAGTGGGGCTTGGGCCCCTGCACGGGTCCTGTAACCACGAAGCTTGCCCTACTCGGCACTCAGTAAACGTGGTATCGTAGAACTAAACAAGCCTTTGGTGACAGGAAGTCACAGCTCATACCCTGACTAGCATTCCTTAGCCTTGAAGGGGGAAGTACATCTGTGGGTCAACAGAGCGCCAGGAGATAGTGGAAATATTCCTTAAAGCCTTTGACGGTTACCTTTCCCAGACTAACATGTTTATTATACTTCGTTTCCTTTTGGGAAAGCACTTTGGAGATGGTTTTTTCAGGATAGAAGATGGTTCTAGTAAAAGAAACAGAGGATGGGTTGAATGTGAACATCCTTCTTTGGAAAAGTTGAGGGGTAACGAGAAACTGAAACCCGAGCTGGTCTTGTTTTCTTTTCCAGTCACAAATCTGATGAGAGGACAGCCTTTGCTCTTGTTTTGTTTTCAGAGACTTTTACATGTTTGGGACGGTTTAGTGACATGAAATAATCATTTTGAGTCTTGTGGGACTTAAAACTTTTCCATCCTATTTCTCTACAGCAAAGCATTACCGTAATTAGAAATGAAGGTGCCTGTTTTCTGGTAGTACAGTAGCCAAAGCCAAATTACACTGAGAATTGTGGGAAATTTTCAGGTTTAAATCAGGGGTTGTAGTGAGTGTGGCCTTCATGCTGGGTTAGACCCACAGTGTTTAATTGTTTGTTTGTTTTTTTTCATTTAGTCCCGACATTAAAAACTCTAGAGATTTCACTTTAAAAAACTTAACCTGACCAGCCAGTCTTCTGAAACATTTTTTATTTCCTTTTTTTTTTTCTGATTTTAACAACAACACGTGTGCTTTACAAAAAAGCTACGACACCCAGAAAAGTAGAAAGAATAAAATTAAAACAACCTAGTGCTTTATAGCCCAAGAATAATCCCTATTCTCCTTCTGGCGTATTTCTCTCTAGACTTTTTTCCTAAATGCGTGCACTTGGTTTGAAAATGTGCCCGTGTATGCGTAAAAATGAAACAAAACTGGGGTTATGCCTTTGGGTACTGCTTCCTTTTTTTTTTTTTTTTTTCAACCAAATGTAGTTAAGTGTGTGAGCTAGTGATCCTCCTAGTGATCTCTGTGTGAACATTTTTACCACTTGTTTTATTAGAGGATACATCACACATGATATATTCAACGCTTCCCCACTGGCAGGTGTAGATGGTCACCAGCCTGCGTCCTCATACATAAATTGTCTGATTGTTTTCGTATATTTGGAGCGGAGGAATTGCTGGGTGCGAGGGGACACTTGCCATTTTTGGAAATGATGTAACAGAGACTGAACAGTGAAGCCCACAGCTGCCCCGGTATGGAACAAGTGATTTACTGGTGCTTTCGGGGGGGCCCCCAGTCCTGGCTCAGGCACTTTCCTAATGTCAGCTGGTTCGACCTTCATGGCCCCTCGGAGGCAAATACCATCATTTATCCCCATTTTATAGATAAGGGGACTAAGGAACCGAAAAGCGAAGTAGCTGGGATTTGAACCCAGGTGATCTGGCTCCAAAGTCCCGGTGTTCAGCCGCTGTGCCGTGCTCCCTCTCCTGATGAGAAAACTCAGGGACAGAGGCAGTCCATCCTGGACACATGGTGAGGGGGAGCCAGTGGGGACTCTTGGGGTGAGACTCAAACGACACACACCCCCACCCCCACCCTACACCCCAGCACCCGGGCCCCAGGAGGCCAGAGTCTGGCGGGGCAGGGTGGGGGCGGGGCAGGGTCACGCTCTCCAGGCTGCGCTCCTTGAAGGGCTGCCAACATCCCCTCATTTCTCCCGTTCGCGAAGACAAAGCGATGTGGCCTCCCAAACGCAGCTTCCTTTTCCTCTCTTCCCCCTGAAATTGCTGTCTTGTGTCAGCTGTCATTTAAATTCGGATGGTTTGTCCCTCTTCAGATCCCTTTGTGGAGAACCGTTTTTCAAAAGCAGTTCTGAGGCAGGGCCAAGTGTGGAGGAGAGGGGAGGATGGGGAACAGGAGTGGCCCATTCCCTGCTGAATGGGGAAATGACCTCTGAAATGTGGGGAGCCTTTCACCCAAGTTCAGCAGCTGGGATCTGTGGGGAGAAGGTTAGAGTGTCTCTAAGTATCTGTGTTAACTGTTTAAAAATCACTTACCCCTTCTGAAGCACAGCCCCAATCTAAGACCGGGGGGTGCCTCTGCTGGGGGACCCCTCTCCCCAGCAGAGTCTGGCCCCGGAGGCTTGGTGGTAAGCCACAGAAGCCGTGGCCACACATCTTGAAGTGGACTTCATCTTGCCACTTGCCACTTCGACAGAAGAGTTTCCGGTCAGGGTCAGAGGTACACTTAGAAGCACGTGTGGTGTGTGTAAGACAGTGGCAATGATCCCCAGCCTCTCTCTCCTCTCTTCTGTCTCTCCCCGCCTCGCTTTCTAGGCCAGAGCCGCTGTTGGGGGCATAGCGTGTCTCTACAGAGCACACTGCCTACTGCCCCCCATTGAGGTCTCTAGCAGCCACCTCCCTGGTTTTCCTCAAGTTTGTCACCTGAGAACAGAGGTCAGAGCTGTCATTTACAAGAATATGTGCCCTTGTATTTAGCAGGGTTTTCATACGGGTGACACAGACGTTAAATGTGCAGCTATGGGGTAAACAGAACTCCACACTAGCAGGAAGCGTGAGTGGGGTTTGTAGGAACACTGTAGCTTTCCTAAAGATGTCAGCTGCAGGGGCTGAGCTTGGAGAATTAAAATCAGTTGCGGGACTGAATGGGAAAAATCTGAGAAGAGACTTGCATCCAGAATACATAAAGAACTCTTACAACTCAACAATTAAAGACAACTCTGTTAAAATACAGAGGTGGGGGTGGTGCCTGGGTGGTTCAGTGGGTTAAAGCCTCTGCCTTTGGCTCAGGTCATGATCTCTGATCCCAGGGTCCTGGGATCGAGCCCCGCATCGGGCTCTCTGCTCATCGGGGAGTCTTCTTCCCCCTCTCTCTCTGCCTGCCTCTCTGCTGCTTGTGATCTCTGTCAAATAAATAAATAAATAAATTCTTTAAAAAAAAACAGAGAAAGGGTTTGAGTAGACAGTTCTCCAAAGAAGATATGCAAATAGCCAATAAATACATAAAAAGATGCCCAACACCAATATTCATCAGAGAAATGCAAATTTGAAATCACAGGGACATACCACAGCATAGCCACTAGGATGGCTATACTAAAAAAAGGCATAATGACAAGTATTGGTGAGGATGCGGAAAAATCAGAACCCTCATACGTTGCAGGTGGGAATGTAAAATGGCGCAGCCACTTGGGAAGGCAGTTAAAAATAAGAGTTACGGTATCACCCATCAGTTCCCCTCCTAAGTATTTCCCCCAGAGAATTGAAAAGTTATGTCTGCAAAGAAACTTGCACGTGAATATTTCTTAGTGTTACCCACAACAGCCAAAAAGTGGGAACAACCAACGTGACCATAAACAGGCCAATGGAGAAACAAATGTCCTGTAAGCATCACGCATCACGTCTGAAAACACGCTACGTGGGAAGAGCCAATCCGAAAAGACCATGCGGTTCATGAGCCCATTTGTAGGAAGCGTCCAGAGGAGGCAAACCCTGAGAAACTGAAAGGAGATGATTAATGGTCACCTAGGGCTTGGGGGGTTAGGGCACAGTGGGGAGTGAGTGCTAATAGGTATGGGGTTTCTTCGGGGGATGATAAAAATGTCCTAGAATTGGTCGTGGTGATGTTTGCACAACCCCGCGAATCTCCTGAAAGTCATTGGTTGTGCACTTTCACTGGGGTGGATTCTTTGATCTGCAACTTGGATCTCTGGAAAGCTTCTTAAAAAAAAAAAAAAAATCTGCTCTGGGGAAACTGTTGGATGTGGCAGAAGAATGAAATCCACGAAGTGAAAGCCTTTTTTCCTTTGCAGCTTCTCTGGCAGTAGGTGGTATGACGCCAACGACTTAGGTATGAACTGTATGAACCTTACCAAGCCGGAGTGTAACTTCACCCCGAGCAGCCTCTCAACGGGTTTCCCACCACATTTCAACATCTCTTTACGCGTCCGAGCTAAGCTGGAGGACCTGGTTTCCCCCTGGCTGACAGTGCCTTGGTTCCTGTCCTGTTGGAATGGTAAGAGAACTTGGCTCTAAAACTTCCTTTATCATTCAGGCTTTCTTCACTTTCCTCCTCGCTGAGCCGTGCGGACTCCACGCTCCCCTGTCCTGTGTCTCGCCCCGCACAGCCGGTGAACAGGTGGGTGTAGTGGTCAAACCCATGAACTGAGCATGAGGCTCGCGCTAGAGGAGTGTGAGTTGCAAAGACCAGGGGCTGGGAAGCCACAGCCTGTCGGCCACATCCGGCCCGCCAACCCGTTGTTGTAAATAAAGTTTTATTAGAACACAGTTTCACCGTCTGTTAATAACGTATGGTCTGTAGATGCTTTCAAGCTACAGCACTTCAAGCTTTCAAGCTACAGTTGCAACAGAGATTGCTTGGCCCGCGAAGCCCAATTGACTAGGGTGCTTTACCAAAAAAAGCTCGTTGGCCTCTGGGCTGGGTGGGACATACTGGCTTCACCGATCACCCTTCTCTCTTCCGGCACAACTTCCTTTATGTTTAAGAAAGACTTTCATTCGGCCTCGAACAGTGCCTGGCTCATGGTGGATATGCCGTGGAGGTTGGTTGAATGAGCAGATGTGCTCCCAGAAATCGGAAGGGGGCGTAAGAACAGACAGATTCTAGTTTGTACTTCGCTCCTTCTGTGATTCATTTCCCACAGGGTCAGCTGTGTCCCAGAGCCCCAGTGCTCATGGTTTAGGCAAACTAAGCAGAGGGAGAAGACAGCTGAGGGAGTGTGGTCACGGTCTAGCTATTTGACGGGCTAGTAAGCAATTACTGTTCGTTTATCTCAAGTCCTATAATGGTATTTTATGTTTTTAAGGGCGGGGCGGGAGGTCCTAGGCTTTAGAGACACATACTGGAGTAGTTACACATGAAATGATGTGGTGTTTGGGATTTTTCAAAATAATCCAGAGAGTGGGAGGGCAGAGGGCAAGGGGGATGAGAGGAACAAACTTGACCATGACCTCAAGGTGGGCGGAAGTTGGGTGATGAGGACATGAGTTGTTATCATGACCTTCCCTCTCTTTCCTACGTGTCTGAGAGTGTCTGCCTTGGGAAGCTAGGAAGAGCAACCCGCAGCTTGCGCCAGATGGTGTGGGGACCGGAAGAGAAGGCAGCGCAGTCCCCGTGGGCCAGGCAGTTACCGCAGACAAGTCGTCTGTCCTTGCGTAGAGAACCAGCACATATCTGAGCTACGAAATGTCACCTAGCTGGGAATTAGTTAAGAGAAAAAGAAAAAGTAATGGTGGGCCCTGGCCCTGGTGCCGGAGAAGAGGAACGGGGTTGGAAGCAGGGCCTGTTGCCAAAGTCGCTGGTCCAGTGCCAGCCATCAGCGGCTCTCCGTCCTCCCAGCCTGAGCTGGGCAGCAGTGTTCCCAGGTGGTTCCTGGCTGGGCAGTCATCCTCTGCCCTCACTTGCAAAGTCGGAGGCAGACGTGTCCTCAGAGCCCATCGCTGGGTCCAGCCCTTGTGCACGTGGGGGGCACAACCAACACGAGGATGAGCGTGTGTGCAGGGAGGAGGAGATGGCTGGCGGTGGCAGCTGGTGGGGGTCACATCGGCCTCGCTTCACATCCCCCCTCTGCCCCTTACTGGCTAGGACTCTGGGCAACTGCGATGACCTCCTGGCTTCTGTTTTTCCCTGTGGGAACGAAGATGACCTTCTGTGGAGGGTACGCAGAGCTGGTGGACACGTGAAAATCCACGTTGCCTGGTTTACAATGAGAGCTGGTCCATGGAAGCTGCCGTCAGCAGTCACCCGCGGATAATCGAGACTCACCCGCGGATAATCGAGACTCCCTTCCGTGTGTTGAGAGAGGGCGGATCGTCTCCCCCTCAAAAGACAGGCTCATTTCCCCTCAAAAAGTGCTTCGTTGATGGAAGAGGGCTAAGAGCGGCTGGCATTTATTCACACTCTCCATCAGACCCAGGAAACCATATCGTTACCTCTTGGCACCTGTCACTTGGTACCAGATCCCGGATCCAGAATTCTCGAAGGGCAGCTCTCTCCACCCTGACCTTCCAGGGGACGAAATGACCCGCTCAGGCTGGCACCCTAGCTTCCAGGCCCACCCTGCGTGGAAGTCACAGAAAAGTCTAGAGAACATGTCCTACGGAGGAGAAAGTCCTGAGGATAACGTGGCTTGAGCCGGTGGCGGGGGGGTGGGGCAGTAGAGGGGACCAGGCCGGCCAGGTCTCTGTCTAGAGCTAGTCCCTCCCCCACAGCCCAGGACGCCGGACGGTCTGGCTGCAAACCCTGCAGGGACCAGCCCCTTGCCCAACAGCCCTTGCCCAACAGGTGCCAGGGCCTTGCCCAGCCGGGAGAGCCCAGGTGGAAGCGTGGAAAGCACGACCGGTCTCAAACACACGCCTGGCCACAGTGATCCAATCGGCTGCGCGTGTAGTCGGCACATGGCTGGGCCTCTCGGAACTGGTGGGGCCCGAGCTACACACTCCGTCTGAGTGATTGTTTCGTACAAGAGGGAACCTTTCCTTCAACACGCTTCAGGGTCCCGGGAACTCTGTGAAAAGCTTTGAGAAACAGACTTCCAATGGCAACATCTCTCCGGCACTATGTTTAAACACGGTCTGTTTATAAATACCACTTTTGTTCATTTGTAAGGAAGTACGAATGTGTATTAAACATAGATCTGCAAAGGAGCCAGGTGGTAGGTAAGGGGAGCAAGATCCTGTCCCCCTCTCCTCCTCTGCCTGAAAATCTGATCTGTGGTTAACCTTCCGGCTGTTTCTCTGGAAACCCGGTCACAGTGGCTGTTCACCATGTTCCTAAGCAGCATCGCTTGTGGCAAAATGACCCCTGACCGATAAGCTGCACCTCCCTGGGGCCCCTCCAGTGCCTTCGAGGGACCCGTGTCTTCGGCTGAGTGCAGCAATTCTTGTAACTGTGCGTGGCCCTCACGGGGACTCTGGAAACTTCCCGCAGTGCTGTTGTAAGAGATATTGGCTCTTGGGGCTTTTCAGCCTGGGAGGCTCCTGTACCGGCCTCTTGTGGGTCTCAGTCTCCAGGGAAGCTGTGTGCTGGGGTGGGGACTGGGCGGGGGTGAGGGTGACGTGAAGAGACTGGCTCTGGGCCAACACGTGGACAGCTGCAAGGGCCCTCCTGCCACCGACCGGAAGCCCTGGTGCCACACGGTGGCCTTCCTGCCCCGTGGCCTGCCACGTGAAGCTTGTGCCCAGACCGGTCTCTGGGAGTCTGCTGTGCCAGAATGAGATCTCACTGGATTTAAAAATGTGCGTGTGGGTGGCTGTGGCTGTGTGTACACGCCATATACATATATAATCATGTGTGAGAGGAGAAAATAAACCAAGACGAAATCACAGAGGGAGACAAACCATAAGAGCCTCTTAATCATAGGAAATAAACTGAGGGTTGCTGGGGCCGGGCGGGCGGGCGGGAGATGGAGTAACTGGGGGGTGGGCGTGAAGGAGGGCACACGACGTAATGAGCACCCAGTGTTGTAGGCACCAATGCATCGCTGACCTCCGCCTCTGAAACTAGCAATGCACTATATGTTAATTAACTGGGTTCAAATTTTAAAATAAAATTAAAAATAAGATTATATGGTGTATTATATATACAATGTATGTGTGTGTGCATATACATATATATGTGTGTATATATATATATTGTGTTTGTGTCGTTACTCTGTTTCAGTTACCGTTGGGCCTCCTGAGAACATCTGGGTGACACCGGGAGAAGCCTCCCTGACCATCAGGTTCTCCTCTCCCTTTGACATCCCTCCCGACCTGGGCTATTTCCAGTACTATGTCCATTACTGGGAAAAGGCAGGAATCCAAAAGGCAAGAGCATTTTTCTCCTTTTCTACATTTTTTCTGCTTTGTTTTGATTTTCTTTCCTTGGACTTTCTGATACAGCAAAAAAAAAATCAACTTGAAACTAGACAAGGAGGACAGAGCGTCCCGGTGTTGCCTTAGGGTCTGAGCGCTGAACCGGGTTTAATCCGTCCACTGGAGACCCGAGCTTCTGCTCCCTATGCCAAGCCTTCCCTTCTGCCAGGTGGCTCCAAAGGCCCCTCTCTGCCTGACAGCATGCTCGTCCTGTTGTTTGGGGTGCGCACAGAGCCCCTGGGGCACTCTAAAGTGTGGGAAGGTTCTAGAAAGCCTGTTTCTACCACATGGAATCCACCCCTGCAATCTGCAGGGTTTATGTAAATTGCTGTGGTTTGTATGATTTGCAAAGAGAGCGCGTATGAACAGGTGAAAAGTCTGCTGGGAGGAGAGAGCGCCTTCGAGGGAAGAGGACAGGGTGTGGGAAGGTTCGGGATGTCTGGGGATCTGCAAGCGCCGGGGTCGTCAGGAATGCAGGAGGGGCTGCGGCGGGCCTCGAGGCTAGCAGAGGTGGCATCAGACCAGCAGGGCCTGGTCAGCCCTAGTGATATGAGGGACGGTGCTGGACTTCGGTTGTCCGCGTGCCCGATTGTCCAAGCTGCGTGTCAAGAGGTTTCATTATCTATGTGAGCTTCCGGGTTTCCTAAACTGAACAGTATCATAATTGTTTTGGTTTTTTGTTTGTCAGTTTTATTGTGATATAACTGACATTCTTCTCTGCACAAGTTTAAGGGATATGGCATAATGGTTTGGACTTACGTGTATTATGAAATGATTATAGTTTTTTGTAATGGTAAAAAGCTTATGTTAATCGAGAGCTTTCTTAGCATGGGGCCCTGGACCAGGCATTTTAGATACACATTTAGTCTTTGTCCCGAGCCGCGTCCCAGAGAAGGAAACCAGCTGGTTGAGTAAGTTGCCCAGGGTCAGCAGCTGACAGCTAGCCCATCAGCGCAGGGACATCTGAGCCCAGGGTCCATGCTGTGCACTTTGCCTTTTGTTTTCTTAAGATTTTATTTATTTATTTGGCAGAGAGAGAGAGCACAAGCAGAGGGAGAGGGAGAAGCGGGCTCCCTGCTCAGCAGGGAGCCCGATTCAGGGCTTGATCCCAGGACCCCGAGATTGTGACCTGAGCCAAAGGCAGACGTCTAACCAGCTGAGCCCCCCCAGCACGGATCTTCCCCAGCATAGTTCATACTTGTCCTTCCTCCCCATTTCTTCATGGTGAATCTTAAAACACTGAGGAAGGCAAAACTCCCTGAAGAGTAGACTCTTATCATATGAGGAAGAAGGAACTAATCATTTCCCTGCATCAAGAGGTCAAGGTCTGGTCAAGTGGGATGGAGAAGGCCTGGAAGATTCCAGAAGGGATTCCCCTTTCCCCCTTCCTACCAGAGCAGCTACACCTTGGACTTGTGGATCAAAGATTCTAGGGCTCAAATGAGTGTGAGAGCCACCAAAATATCCACATCCCAGCTGTGAGTCTGTGTCCCCAAAACCAGCCTCTGGATTTGTGGGAAGGACCCACGGGACGTGGCATATGGTTGTATTCATGGCTATGATTCATTACAGAAGAAGGACACAAAACAAAATCAGCAAAGGGAAGAGGAACATGAGCCAAACTCCAGAGGAAGGCAGGCACAAGCTTCCAAGAACCTTCTCCGGAATGACTCAGACAGGACACACTTAATTCCTTCAACAACAAACCTTGACAACGTGTGAAATGTTGTCTACCAGGGAAACTTATCAGAGATGCAGTACCCAGGGTTTTTACTGGAAATGTAGGCCCTTTCTCCTTAGCACAGATCAAAATTCCAGACTCCTAGAAGGAGAGCAGGTGTTCAGCATAGAAAACATTGTGTCCGCCATTAGCCTCCGATATTACTTAGGGAATGGCGGGGGCATTTCTGGATTCCAAGTTCCCAGGTGCCAGCTTTGGTTAGCCTGGCAAACAGGCCCTCCAAGGACAGCGGTCTCAGGTCTCTGCAGTCTTTGATTCTGAATTCTAGAAATGCCAACTGGCAGCTGAAATAAACCCCAGAGGAAGTTTATACTTAAAATGGCTTCGCGGGTGGGGCGCCTGAGTGGCGCAGTTGGTTAGGTGCCAGGCTCTTTGTTTGGGCTCAGGTCACGATCTCCGGGTTGTGAGATTGAGCCCTAGTAGGGCTCCACACTCAATGGGGAATCTGCTTGAGATTCTCTCCATCTGCCTCTGCCCCTCCCCATCCACACTTGCGTGCTCTCTTTCTCAAATAAATAAATAAATCTTTTTAAAAATTGCTTTATGGGGCATCACAAGCAAAAATTTTTCTCCTCTGCCCTGGCAGTCCCTCAGCATTAAACAGAAGGAAGAAAAATCATCCATGGTCCTACGATTCCTAAGCAAGGCGACTATTTTATATTTTTAAAAATAAGATGCTCTCTACATACTCTTGAGTAACCTGCCAGTTTTCAGCCAACACTATAGCAGCTTCATCTTCGTGTCGCTGAGCATATGTTATACCACCGTTTCAAACGGCTGTGGCGTTTTTCTGCTACATCTCAAAATAGGAAAGCAGGGGCGCCTGGGTTGGCTCAGTGGGTTAAAGCCTCTGCCTTCAGCTCGGGTCATGGTCCCAGGGTCCTGGGATCGAGCCCGGCATTGGGCTCTCTGCTCAGCGGGGAGCCTGCTTCCTCCTCTCTCTCTGCCTGCCTCTCTGCCTACTTGTGATCTTTGTCTGTCAAATAAATAAATAAAATCTTAAAAAAAAAAATAGGAAAGCAGTCCCCTTATAAGAAATCCTATACGGCCGTAATATATCTTTCCCTCTTTTCCCTGTGGGACGATGGCGACTTTGTCCAGGAGAGCAAGAAGCCATTGACTAGAGGGATCCAGAGGGAGGGAGGCAGCAGCAGGGATAGGCTGAGGGGAGGAGAAAGAATCCTCCAGAATCTGGGATCCAGCTGTGTCCCAATTACGTAACTCACCAAGATCATGTGGACCAAAACTCTGTAAGAGGCATCAGCACATTTCAGTTAAAACTAAAACCAGACTTGGAATGAAAAGAATGTTATTTCCCACCATGATTTTTTTTTTCCTCTGTCCGTTGGCTAGCTTGAAGAATCTAGAATACATTAACCATGAAGTAAGACATAGTGATTTTATTTATAAGAAATAGTAGATGCGCTGGGCATTGAGGCAATTTTATTATTTTTTTAAGATTTTACTTATGTATTTTAGAGAGAGAGAGAGAGAGTGCAGGAGGGAAGGAGAGGGACGAGCTGACTCCCCCCAGGCATGACTTGGGGCTCGAACTCACCACCCTGAGCTTATGACCTGAGTTGAAACCAAGAGCCGGACGCTTAATTGACTGAGCCACCCAGGCGCCCCATTTGAGGAGAAAATTTCATCCCAGACATGGGGGCCTGCTAAATTCCAGGGGCGGACCCTCCGTGGCCGCGGCAGGCCCCTGAGGCCTCACAGCCAGAAAGACAGCTCTGAAGCCCTCAGCGTCTTTCTCCACATGGTTCACCACTTTCACACATAAAATATGTCCACTGCAAACCAGTGACTCTTTCAAAACAGAATCTCTTGGGACGCCTGGGTGGCTCATTTGGTTGAACGGCTGCCTTCAGCTCAGGTCATGATCCCAGCGTCCTGGGATCGAGTCCCACATCGGGCTCCTTGCTCGGCAGGGAGCCTGCTTCTCCCTCTGCCTCTGCCTGCCTCTCTGCCTACTTGTGATCTCTGTCTGTCAAACAAATAAATAAAATCTTTAAAAAAAAAAAAAGAATCTCTTTCTTTGGTGACGGTGTTCCCTGAGGATTTGAGGAAACACTGGCAAAGCTACAAGTGGCTCGACCACATCTCTCTGGGTCATTTTCATATGTTCCTGTTGGCGTTTTTTACGCAGGTTAAAGGTCCTTTCAAGAGCAACTCCGTCGTGTTGGATGGCTTGAAACCCTTAAGAGAATACTGTTTACAAGTGAAGGCGCATCTCTTTCGCACATCTTGCAACACCTCTAGGCCCGGCCGCTTAAGCAACATAACTTGCTACGAAACAATGATGGATGGTAACACCTGCCTTCCTTACGTCCTTTCTGAGCTGGGACCAGAATCCCTGAGTAGTGTAACCCGGGCTGGCTTACAAGGTGGAGGGCGGTGGCAGTGCGGAGACCCAGAGAGAAGGGGCGAGAAGCCAGCGCCCAAGTCGGTCTAACCAGCTCGTGCTGAGATCTGCGACAGTGACACCACCAGACGGCTAACACCGCTCGGTTTTAGGGTTGCTTTTACTAGTTATGCACTCGAGCACGCGAGGCTGGGCAGGGGAGGGACAGTGTGTGTCCATCTCAGGAGGACGTGGACACTATCGAAGCAGTTGGCAGTGAAGGCTGACCCGGTGTTCGTATTGTGTGCGGGATGGGCCTCTTGTTCATCTTGTGTCGTCTTTTTTAAGCCACTACCAAGCTTCAACAAGTCATCCTCATCGCCGTGGGAGTCTTTCTGTCGCTGGCGGCGCTGGCGGGGGGCTGTTTCTTCCTGGTGCTGAGATACAAAGGCCTGGTAAAATACTGGTTTCACTCTCCGCCAAGCATCCCGTCACAAATCGAAGAGGTACGTGTGCACACATCCAGGGGGTGACATGTCAGCCCTCTGCGGCCCCGTGGTAACGCCTAGGAGTCTGGCAGTGGACAAAGCCACGGACACAGAGTGTGGAGTTATAAGTGGTTCAGGGCAGGGGCGCTGGGGGACTCAGTCAGTTGATGTCCGACTCCTGATCTCGGCTCAGGTTTGATCTCACGGCTGTGAGTTCGAGCCCCGTGTTGGGCTCCGCGCTGAGTGTGGAACCTACTTGGAGGGAAAAAAAAGTGGTACAGGGTTATTTGTACACCCGTGTTCATAGCAGCAATATGCACAACCCCTAAATGCTGGAAGCAACCTAAGTTTCTGTCAGTGGATAAACGGATAAACAAAGGGTGGTCTAGCCACACAATGGAATATTATTCAGCCATTAAGGGGAAGGGGATTCTGACTCACGCAACAACACAGGTGAACCCTGAAGATACGATGCTAGGTGAAAAGGCCAGTCACAAAACGACAACTTCTGTGTGATTCCACTTCCGTGATGTACTCAGAAGAGTCAGGCTCACAGAGACTGAGAGTAGAGTGGTGGGCTCTGGGGTGTGGGTGGGGAGGGGGAAATGGGGCATTAGCATTTAATGGGGACAGAGTTCTAGTTTTGCAAAATTAAAACAGTTCCAGAGATGGTGGTGGGGCTTGTCCAACCGTGTGAATGTATTTTATACCGCTTAAAAATGATAATTCTGAATTCTAATAATGTCTTTTACCACAACTTAAAACAATTTTTTTAAAGATTTTATTTATTCATGAGAGAGAGAGAGAGGCAGAGGGAGAAGCAGGCTCCCCGTTGAGCAGAGAGCCCAATGCGGGAATCGAACCCAGGGCCCTGGGATCATGACCCTCGCCGAAGGCAGACATTTAACTATCTGAGCCACCCAGGTGCCCTAAAACAAAATTTTTAATGGCAGAAGTTGGTGGAAAAGGTAGCCTGGCGTGGCCAAGAGATCGCCTGTGGAGAAAGCCACCAGGACCCTGGCAGAGGGTGAGAAGGCGATGGAGACAGGGCTGTAGGGCGGGAGCTGTGCACTCAGAAGGATTCTAGAGGAAATGCACCCAGGGCTGTGAGTACAGAGCCGTCCACACCGAGAGCTCACTGGATGTCACTAATATTCTGAAAGACCTGAGGGAGACAGGTGGACAGGGTCTCGTGGGAAGTCGCTTTCCTGCTCAGCATCCCCACCACCACTGCCACCCAGGCTCCGTGAGGTGGCCCAGCCTTCTAGGAGCTGATAGAAGATTATTTAAAAGTATTTGTCTCTGGAGGTTTATTAGCAGTAAAATCAGAGTAAAGGTACTGGGAACAGACTCTTCGTCTGTTACACCTAGAAGGAATAGGTGTTAGATAAGGTCCAAGTCTATAGAGAAAGAGTAGTGCTTCTAGAAAAAGCTGGAGTCCCTTATCTTCCTTCCTCCGTCACGAGGTGTTTAAAGTACCCAGACAGAACTCAAATTACACGTGAAGTCCCCCACTAGAAAACTCCAGGCCGATTCCACTCACGTGAGGCATCTAGAATAGTCTGCCTCATAGAAGCAGGAGTAGAATGTGGTTGCCGGGGGCGGGGGAGAGGGACCCAGGGGGATGCCGTTCAGCGGCCATGAAGTTCCAGTTATGCAGGATGAGTCAGTTCTGGAGAGCTGCTGTGTGTCATCGTGTCTAGAGACAGTAGTGCATTGTGTGTTTAGAAATTTTTTAAGAGGGTAGAACTCACGTTAAGTGTTACCACAAAAAAAAAAAAAAGGAAAAGTCAAGAAAAGAAAAACAAAAACAAAAGACCTTCCCTGGTTAATATTTTCACACAGTAACAGCCCTCAGTGGGCGTCAGCGTCTTACCTGCTCAGATCTCTCTCACGGTAAAACCACCAGCAGGGCCCTGTGAGGTGAATTTACTACTAGCTGTTTCTTTGGGTCGTGGGTCTAAAACAGAGTCTTTCGGTTCACTTCCCTGGGAAAGTGTGAAAAATAGATATCAAAGGGCACTGAGGTTACACGAGAATAACGAATCAGGTTTCACTTATATTTTTGAGGTTTCAGAAGCGCTCAGGATTGGTTTATGCTCCTCTTGTCGCCCGTCAGCTCTGGGCTCGCTGTGTGTTTTGGTGTCTGTCGGCCTGTGTGGCAGCGAGACGGGAGTTTCTCGGTCACGCAGCGGTGACATGATGGCTCAGCCTGGTGCTGAGGCCTGAGGGAAGGGACAGGTGGGGCGCTGTGAGGCCCCCTCTGTCTCTCCTTGCTTCTCTGCTTGGTGTGTGTCATGTGAGGTGGAAGTGACCGGTGGGTAGAGGGGCTGAGGAAGACACGGGCCAACTTTCCCTCTTTTCCCCCATGAGGGGTGAACCGGAGGCCCCTCGTCCTCCCTCACTGGAAAGTGAGAATCCTAGAGCCACTTCCGGGGAGAACAGGCCCCAAGCCCGCACCAGGGGCAGGAAGTTACAATGTGCTTTTCCTGAGGCACCGTGTGAGCTTGGTTGGCCCTGGGATTCCTGTTGAGGTGACTGTTGACGTGAGGGGCGTTCTTGTTTGAGAAGTGGCTTCGGTGGTGGTCAGAATAGGAAGGTACCAACTCAACCTCAGGTAGAAGGTCAGCCATGTTGAACTGAGAAGCTAATGACGCTATTGATTTTCAACCTTTTCAAGTATCTGAAGGACCCAAGCCAGCCTATCCTAGAGGCCCTGGACACGGACACATCGCCGACGGATGATGCCTGGGACTCGGTGTCCGTCGTTTCGTTTCCAGCGAAGGAGCAAGAAGATGTTCCCCAAAGCACTTTGACCCAAAACTCTGGTGTGGTCTGCTAGCCTGTGGGGTGAGGCTCTGAGCCGAGGAAGCTGCTGATGTCCATGTCAGCACTTTACGGAGCCCGGTCCTCCATATTCCTGTCCCCAAAAGGCCTGTCAGTGCCTGGGAAGATGTAACGGGTCTCATGGGGGTGACAAGCTTATTGATTTTTTTCTTCAAACTAAGAGTTTCCTAATCACACGCGTTTTCAGAATAATTCTACAGATATGTCCCCGAAAGATTAAGGTTTCTCTTAAACACTAAAAAGACATGTAATTATTTGTTAGCAAATGGGCGTCTGGCGCGCCTCTGACACTTTCTCGTCAGCAGCCAGGACATGAGGTCCCCTCCTTGATGAAGCCCCTTGGGCAGATCATGTCACCCATCCCAGCCTGTCCCAAGAAGGGACATTAAGTGGCCCTTCTTCATATCCAAACACCTGGCTTGAAATGTGATTAGTCCTGTAAATAGTTTCCCAGAGATTAAGCCTTTTTTTTTTCCAAGTTAGGAATAAAAGACTATAATTAACTTTTTAAAAGTCAGTGTGAAGTTTCTGCTTTCCACTTCACTTGCTTGATTTTGGTCTTTATCTTCTGCAAAGTTTCAACCATTTAAAATTCCTCTCTCTAAATTTGTTTTCTTAAGTAACACCCGGTAGAGGCCTCATGGTCTCCGAGAATGGTCTCCATGTGTCCCCTGATTCCCTAGGAGGGTATAAAGGGCACTTTCAGAAGCTTCATGAGCACGTCACCCAGGATGACTCATGTGTTGACCAAGAAAGGGGCTTGTAGGCAGTAAAGAGAATTTGCTAACAGTCAACGGTGACACCCACCAGGCATGTGCATCTTCTGATCGTGTAAGTATCGACAGGTTCTGGATTAAAAATCCATTTCTGTGACTCTTAGCATTTAGGAAGTGGACGTGTAGTTGCTTGTCCCCCCCAGCCCCCCGGCACACATGCACACACACATCCCAAGTGATACACTTGCTGTAAGGTCTGCTTTCCCGGCAGCCAAACCTCACTGGGTAGAGGAGGGAGTGACTATAAGAAGAAGAAGCTTCTAGCACTCATTGATGGGGTCACTTCTCTCTCTCATTCGGGGCCTGTGCCACTGGTGAGGAATCGGTCCTGGGGTTGAGCTTCTAAGCAAACGCTGCTCCCAGAGGCCTGGCTGGGGCCAGGCTCTCCAATGTTATTGTGTCGGAGGGAAAAGTGTGCCCCTGACTCCAAACCCGCTTCACCATCCTAACTCGGTAAACACCCCGAGGAGGCCTGGGCTGGGCCTATAATCTGGGGGGAAAGGACAGGAATTAGTAGAGGGAGAGCCTCCTTTTCTATGTATCTTCCCCACGTGGTTCTACTTTGTCACGTGAAGAGCTAGTCAGTGGGATTCATACTTATACTCACTTGGGATTTAGTTTCTCGTCAAGCGAAGTACCTAACCATAAAATGAGTCAGAAGCAATCTTGTCAGTCAATTACAACAGAGCAAACTGCAAGCCATTCGGCAAAGCCAGCCTGCTCCCCGCATTTGTAGTTAAGAATAGTTCCTACACCTTTAAACAGTTTGGGGGGGGAAATCAAAAGAATAGTATTCCATCACACATGAAAAGTACATGGAATTTAAATTTCAGTGTCTGCAATAGCCAAACTATGGAAAGAACCTAGATGTCCATCAACAGATGAATGGATAAAGAAGATGTGGTGTATATATATAGACAATGGAATACTATGCAGCCATCAAAAGAAATGAAATCTTGCCATTTGCAACAATGTGGATGGAACTAGAGGGTATTACGCTTAATGAAATAAGTCAATCAGAGAAAGACAATTATCATATGATCTCCCTGATATGAGGAAGTGGAGATGCAACATGGGTTTGGGGGGGTAGGAAAAGAATAAATGAAACAAGATGGGATCGGGATGGAGACAAACCATAAGAGACTCTTACTGTCACAAAACAAACTGAGGGTTGCTGGGAGGAGGGGGGTTGGGAGAGGAGGGTGGGGCTATGGACATGGGGGAGGGTATGTGCTATGGTGAGTGCTGTGAAGTGTGTAAACCTGGCGATTCACAGACCTGTACCCCTGGGGCTAGTAATACATTGTATGTTTATTTAAAATTTTTTTAAATTAAAAAAAATTTAAATTTCCGTGTCTGTAAATAAACTTTTACTGGAGCCCGGTGATGCTCATCAGGGCTGGACCACTGCCGGCTGATTTTGCGCGGCTCAGCAGAAGTGAGGAGGGCTACGGAGCCTAAAATATTTACTGTGTGGCTCTTCCCCACGAGTATTTGATCCCCCTTGATCTCCACAGTGAACTGCTCACTGGACAGGAGAAAGCAGAACCATTCCCATTACTTAAGTGCATACAAAGTCCCTGCAAGAAGCCGTCTGACGCTCCCACGGTATCTGGGAGAAGAAGGACTGAATTCTTGCCTGTATCCCACAAAGCATGTAAGGGACCGTGTCCTAGAGCGGGCTGGAGGCCAAGTTCAGGGGTCAGGGGTCTGCAGGTCAGTGGAGGACAGTGGGCCCTCTGCCAAGAATAGGGCGCCCAGAGATGATGGGTTCGTTGCAACCAGACCCCCTGTGGCCTGTATTTGTGTGAATTAGACATCCGACTTTCAAGACATTTTGCTTTCAAGCGCCAGGAATTTTCCAGTAAACCCCAGCGTCTGGTGTTCCTGCGCTGTGGATAGCGCCCCCTGGGGGCCCCACAGTGCCCGGCCGTGATGAGAAGCACGTGTGTATGTAAGGAAAGGGAAGGCTTATCATTCGCTACATACAAATGTACATACAAAGGTATATCCATCCGCCCGGTCCCAGGGCCACCTGCTTTCATTCGACTCCACATAATGCTGTTGGGAAACAAATCAGTTCGTTCTACTTGATTTATTGAGTTAATCTGTCCCCGCAGGTTACCTAAGTTAATTACAAAGGAGAAAAAGAGCAGCTAGACACCACCTTGAGCAGTTTCAATGGCTGCTGATAGGAGTAATGACACATAACAAATGTGGTTTCTGTCGTATTCCTGCCCAAAACGCGTAACCTAGAATCGTGAGGGAACACCCTGCAAACTTAACCTGACGGGCATCCTGCAAAACGACGCACTGGTCTGCAGTCTTCAAAAATGCTCAGTCACAAAAGACAACCTGAAGAATTGTTCAAGCCGAGGGCCCGTAAGGGGACACACGAGCAGGAGCACTGCGTCCTCAGAGATTGGGTTCTGGACCGGGAAAACTCTCGTTTTCCTTTACCACGAAGCACATAAACAGAGCAGCTGGCAACATCTGGATACAGTGCTTGCGCTGTATCAGCATTAACCTCCTGACCTTGGTGGTGTGTGTACTGTGGTTAGGACTTGGGGAAATGTACACAGAAATATTCAAAGACGAAAAGGCATCACGCCTGCAGCATATTCTCGAACATCTCAGAAAAAAAATATAAAGTAAATGCAGTAAAATGTTTTTATTTGGAGAATCTGAAGGTTGTATAGGAATTCTCTAAGTTGGGGCCCCTGGGTGGCTCAGTTGGTGAAGCCTCTGCCTTAAGCTCAGGTCATGATCCCAGGGTCCTGGGATCCAACCCCGCATTGGGCTCCTTGCTCAGCGGGGAGTCTGCTTCGCCCTCAGCTTGCTGCTCCCACTGCTTGTGTGCACTCTCTCTCTAATAAATAAAATCTTCTAAAATAATTAATAAATCACATCTTTTTAAAAAATTAAACAAAAATAAATTCACGACTTTCAGAATGGAGGGAAATACACTTAACATCATCCTGAACGATTTTTGGCCCTTGGAACAGGTGCTCCCAAATCAAAGCCTGGTGCTCTCTGCACCATCCCTGAGGGTCTGGAAGGCGCCCACCACACCTTCTTGTAGAAACTGAAAATACCTTGAAGAGGCACCAATTATCATCTGAAACCCTTATGTAAAACGACAGAAACTGTGTCTCAACCGCTGCAAAGACTTAAGCACAGGCAGGCTCGAAAGGAACAAAAAACAGGAGTCCAGGCGGTTTTTCTTGAAGGTGGCACGCCACCTTGTGCCAAGAAACTAAACAGCCATCAAAAGAGGAAGGAAACATCCCTCCCTTCAGGCAACGCCCTCCGGGAGAGGTTAAGGACCCGCTTTTAGTGAGCACTTAACTGTTTCCAGGCACAAAGTTAGGCACCTGTTAGCATTCTTTCTGGCAAAGAGCACTCCCAGGCCTGCAAACAGCCTTGGGGTCACAGAGCTAATACGGGGCGGGGCGGGGCCAGATTTAGAGAGGAGTAAACCAACTAAATATAAATTGTTCCCTAGGAACCCCAACTTCCAAACCAGAAATCCCTAGGGACAGTGTCGCTGGAAATACTTTCTCTGTCCTCAACCCTTGGTTTCCTCTCAGGTTGTGATCTGGGAGTCGTGGGATCGAGCCCCACCTCGGGCTCCCGGCTCAGTGTGCAGTCTGCTTGTCCCTCCCTCTCTGCCCCTCCCCCCTCTCCACCTGCACGGGCTCGTGCTCTCTCTCTCAAATAAATAAAAGAAAAAACTTCACAGGAAGAAAAATGTTTTAGCCTGGTTCAGCCTGAGGATTCCCAAGCCTTCTTTGACCACGACTCCTGTTTTTCTCAAGAACAACAGTGCTGGGGCGCCTGAGTGGTTCAGTGGGTTAAGCCGCTGCCTTTGGCTCAGGTCATGATCTCAGGGTCCTGGGATCGAGCCCCACATCTGGCTCTCTGCTCAGCAGGGAGCCTGCTTCCTCCTCTCTCTCTGCCTGCCTCTCTGCCTGCTTGTGACCTCTGTCAAATAAATGAATAAAATCTTAAAAAAAAAAAAAAAAAAAAAGAACACCAGTGCTGTGGGGCGGCTTGGGGAATGCGGGCTGAGGGAAGAGCGGGGCCCCGCCCTCGGGAGTAAACTGCCTGAGCCATGACCGTGACCCCAATCCTGACCCCAGTCCGAGGGCAGGTTACTTAACCTCCCCAGCTAGAAGGTCCTACCTCCAAACCGAGAGCGAAATGAGAACACGTGTAGGACAGTGTTTGTTGGGGAAGGTCACTGAAAAGTTGGGGCTGCCCGTTATCTCGGGAGCTGGCCCCTAGCTCGTCACCCCCTCCCCGGTCCTTGGAAGGTGGATTCCCTTGCTTTTCCTGTCCCCAGAGGCTGCTCCAAGCACACGGCCTGGAGATGGGGATGCGGCGTTGAGAACACATGTGCGGCTTCTGTGACTGCACCTGTGTAGGGCCCCTGGATTCCAAGTTTCAACATTAGGGCGGGTGCAGGGATCCACTCATCTCCCGGATGCCCCCCGAGGAGCCACAGGCCTCCTAGGCAAGTTCCTTTGCTCATTAAACCTGCCATCTGGGGCGCCTGGGAATTTAGCTGGCTAGGCAGCTAACTCTGGGTTTCGGCTCAGGGCATGATCTCAGGGTGGTGGGATCGCACCCCCAGTCAGGCTCTGCGCTGAGAGGGGAGCCTGCCTGAGATTCTCGCTCTCCCTCTGCCCCTCGCCGTGCTCGTGTGCTCCAGCTCTCCCTCTCTAAAATACTTTTTAAAGATTTTTTTTATTTTATTATTTATTTGATAGACAGGTAGGCAGAGAGGCAGGCAGAGAGAGGAGGAAGCAGGCTCCCGCCGAGCAGAGAGCCCGACACGGGGTCCGATCCCAAGACCCTGAGATCACGACCTGAGCCAAAGGCAGAGGCTTTAAACCACTGAGCCACCCAGGCGCCCCCTCGCTAAAATAATTTTAACAAACCCTTGCCACCTAGCAGCCTGGAGTAGCCTCTTCTTCGGTCTCCCCTGGCTGTCTGAGTCCAGGGCCGGTGTGGGGAGGCAGGTTTCAGATGCTACCCGCAGACGACCTTCTCCGTGCGTGTCAGCTCTCAGCGTGGAGCAGGGACACATCCTGGAGAAGCAGGGCCTTGACTTGGGACGCCGGCGGCAGGGCCCGGAGCGAGGAAGTCCACAGGCCTTGAAAGGAATGAGGGTGGGAAAAGGACACGATGCGGGAGGAACACGAGGGCAGCAGGCGCTCTGTCGCTACAGCTGATGTTCGTGATTTGGAAGAGGGATGTGTTGCTCTCCCATCAATCCTCGGGACACTGTCAGGCGTGATCCCAGCTGAGACTGATCCCAGCTGAGACGGAGCCCCGGGAGCTCTGCCCTTTTGTTGCTTCGACGCTCATGCTGGGAGCGAGGCCCTGTCCGCGCTCGATTTGTCTCCACGTTCCTCCCGTTGTGGGGTCCTGCTGATGTCGCTGCGGGAACCAGCGCCGGTGCTGGGCGGAAGGGCTGCCCTGTGTCCCCGGGGAGCTCGAGCAGGCTGGGCTGGGCCTCGTGGAGAGACCACCAGGGGCACAGAAGCTTCCTTGAGGCATGAGTGATAGTGCCTTCTGAGCTCAACGTTAACGAATGAGGGATATTAAATAAGGTGGTTTTCAACAGACACATATATGAAGCAAGGTTACATATTGATGGTTTGAGGAAAACTCAGCAGAGGCTAACCTAACCCTGTATCTCCTCCAGCAGCCACCACCCGTGGTGTGTTGGGGAGACTTCACAGAACCCCCCTATCTTGGGGTGCTTGGCTCAGTCAGTGAAGTGTCTGCCTTCAGCTCAGGTGATGATCCCAGGGTCCTGAGATCGAGCCCCACATCAGGCTCTTTGCTTAGCGGGGAGCCCGCTTCTCCCTCTGCCTGCTGCTCCCCCTGCTTGTGCTCTCTCTAAATAAATAAATAAATAAATAAAATCCTAGAAAAACAAATATAAAAACCACCACCTATCTTGAACAATGAGAATTGCATTTGGAAAGCTTGTAAGTTGAAGGTATTGGAGGGAAAGGGAAAAGAAGGGTGGAGAAAACATCTGGGCTTATTTATAATGAAACTGAGGGGACGAGACACTAAAAAAAGTAAAGGCTGTCTAGATATGAAAGAAAATATAACAGCTTATTTTTAATAAAATGGAACTATCATAAAGACTATTTGTAGGGGCACCTGGGTGACTCAGTGGGTTAAAGCCTCTGCCTTCGGCTCAGGTCATGATCTCAGGGTCCTGGGATCGGGCCCCGCATCGGGCTCTCTGCTCAGCGGGGAGCCTGCTTCTTCCTCTCTCTCTGCCTGCCTCTCTGCCTACTTGTGATCTCTGTCAAATAAATAAAATCTTAAATTAAAAAAAGAAGGGAATGGGTTAGGAAAGCAAAAACTGCCACAGTTCCGTCAAGGTGAAGACCTACTCCAGGATTAAATCAAGCCTGATTGTCCTCCATAACTCTTCAGAAAAGCACTGAACCTATCAGTTACTCCAGGCTATTCCTTTGTCTTCCATCAAAGAAATAAAAGCAATCAACAGAGTAACTCAAAACATAATTTCTACTTCAAGTAGTTTCTACTTCAAATTTTCCTGTCTGAACAGATACAGTCATGAGATTGTTCTAACCTAAGTACACACACAGTTAACCACAAAATGTGACTAATTGTTTAGAGAATAAAATTAGCATCAGATGTTTCTCCCTCAGGATTTAATAGGCTGTTCCCCGAGATTATTTAAAAGTAGCCCAAACCCTTATGAAGTTGAAACAGAATCCAACGGAGAAGACAACAGCGTGCAGGAAAAATTGGGATTAATTCGTAAGACTGGCAGAGGTTATTTCATATGATATGAAGTCATTACAACTAAAATGGAACAGTGAAGTTGAGGTTATGATTGAAAAGCCTTCTGTTGTGGAAAAATGTTGAGAACCTGAGTTCAATGTCAAACACCTGAGTGGGGTTCTTGCTCAAGTAGCAAACGTTACATGGCGTGATAACATCAATCTTTCCCTAACTTTGCTACTGCATTATGCTGATACACATCAAAATTTACATAATGGAAAAATTTAGCCTCTGTTTTCTCATAGTGGCGACACCACAAGGAATACAAGGACCTCAGAAACAGTGTAATGACATAGAATGCTCTGGTAATACTGGTCCACATACAAAAACAAAAGACACTCCGATTCTACAGCTACTGAACCTGTGCAACAGGGAGAGCTTTCTATTAATGGAATCCCACGTATTTTTTTTTTTTTTTTTTAGATTTTGTTTATTTGAGAGAGAGAAAGAGTACATACAAGCAGGGAGGAACAGAGAGGGAAGGAGAGGGAAAATCTAAAGCCGTCCCTACAGAGCGTGGAGCCCAATGCAGGGCTCGATTTCATGACCTTGAGATCATGGCCTGAGCCAAAACCAAGAGTCGGATCCTTGCCTGAGCCACCCAGGCATCCCCCAGCCCCAACCCCCACGTATTTTTAAATGATTATGAAGGGTGCCATCTTTTCTTATTCACAATATCTGTAAGGGTGGATACAAACATTATCCCCCCCTCCTTTTAAGTGAGTAAACAGAGGAAAATTGATTTGGCTCACAGTTAAAAAATAAATTCATGGCAGAATCAAAAATAGAGAAAATAGGGGCACCTGGGTGGCTCAGTGGGTTAAAGCCTCTGCCTTCGGCTCAGGTCATGATCTCAGGATCCTGGGATCGGGCCCCACGTCGGGCTCTCTGCTCAGCAGGGAGCCTGCCAGCCCCCTCTCTCTGCCTGCCTCTCTGTGTACTTGTGATCTCTCTCCCCTTGTCAAATAAATAAATAAAATCTTTAAAAAAAATAGATAAAACAGCTACTATTTCAATCAACCTTCTGGCACACCCTTCACTAGCCTTCATACCAGCATTTTACAAGTCTGAGTAGAATGTATTTCTCTTTATGTCACCAAGAAAAACCGCTTCTATGACCGGGTCCACGGGAATAACTGAACACGAATAAGCCGTTTTTTTAATGGCTCATTTTCTCCAACTGATTTCACAATATTGGAATGTGTGATAAGTAATATTTATTGCAACACGTTACAAGGGAACAGCCACCAGTAATCAGTCTTACAAGTTGTTGGAGGCAAGACAAAGTTTACTGACATTTGGAGGGAAAAACAACAACAAAGGAAAACGTCATTAAACAAGAAGGTGTCTAGGCAAAGGCACAGCGTTCCACCGTCGCTTCATACTCTGTGCCCGGGAGATCCTCTCAGAGAGCAGAGAGGACCGAGCAAGACAAGGCTTGCATTAGGAGCTGCATGTTAATAGCACTGCTAGTAGTCTGTCTTACAACAAAAGGTGCTATAAAATCCCTCTGGAGGAAGAAAGTGCAACACAAAGCCTGTGTAACAAAGGAAAGCAGAAGTAGCAACAAGGACCCAACCATCCCTTTGCCGCCTTGTCTCTTGTAGGCATACACACGGTGCACAAACAGTGTTCCCAACTCAGCAAAAGGAGGTTTGGACTAGAATTACGGACTTTTGGGTTGAAGGTATATTTTGCAGGCAGAATTCACCCAAAGTCTGAGAGCTAGCACAAAGACACACCTGCAGTTGGGAATGAAGAGGAAATGCCTCGTTTTTCACTAGGTCCTAATAATTCCCTTTAGGTAGAAGTGCTTTATCTTGAAACACATTCCAGTTTTCGTTATATGGTTCTTGCTTCTAAACTGCAGTTGTCTCAAACTTGCTTGACGTTGGATTTTGTAAGGTCAGCTAATGACAGCCCACCAGATCAAGGCGTGGCTTTCACAAGAAGCCCGTTGCTGAGCTGCCCTACAGCATTTTCACATTGGCCATATAAAACCGAGCGTATCTGATCGTGAATTCTCTCCTTCCTCATAAAGTCATGTTAGAGAAATCGTTTTTAAAAGAGGCTTTCAAACTAGTCCTTCAGGCATTTAAAAAATCTTCATATAAAAGTCCACTTCTTTAATACATAACAAACATTTTTCCTTTAAAAAAAAAAATCTCATTTTTAAGCCAAAATAAATTACAACTTGCTGAAATACCCTTGTTCATGGCTCAGTGCTTGTTTCAGATACATGGAGCTGTGGTTTTGTGTTTGTGTGTGTATGTTTTTTGTACATCTTCAGAAGTTAAACATACTAAAACAAAACAGTTAACTCTAAAATGACATGAAGATACAACCCTGGCTCAGGGTATAGATGAAGCTTTAAGTCTTCAGGAATAAAAAACTGACACTCATCATCCCATCTATATGGTTTTGTATTATGTACATATTAACAATCTATTCAATGATTTTTAAAAAAGGACAGAAACCTCATAAAACTATTTCCAAACTCAGAGCATAAAAGTGTAAAGAAACAAAACATTTAATGTACAAGCTATCTCATTTGGCAATGTGTAAATTATGTTGAGAGAGAAAAACTTATCTACAAGTATAAGAAAACAGAAGGAAATGTGATCTAAGAAGTGTTCTCAGGTCCACAGCTCTTCAGTTCTTCCAAATTTGTAGATCAGAGTGCTAGAAAGATATGAAAAGAAATCATGAGGAAACAATGCCTGGGAATGAGCAACAAAGAACTCATTTTCTGACTACGACAGGTGGCTCTCTGATTCCTTTGTGTCAATTTCTAAACAGAAAGACCGCAGTGGTGCTGGTCTGAAATGTGCTGGTTTCCTACAGCAGTTTGTTGACCTTGACAGCTAAGTCTGATTACATACGCTTTCTTAAAGCCTGGAGAGTTACTGGATAGGAAACCTGTAAGGAAAAGGGGGATTTCTCCTAGTAACAGCATCAGAGCCCCTTTTAACCCTGGGTTTCTACAATAACTGAAGAATCCGAAAACAGACATTTTCCATATAATTACTGGACCCGGAGGCCTGGCCAGGCCGCAGGCTCCTAGCTAAGTGCTAGGAATGTAGGAGTCAAAACAAGGCCAGGGGTGCTCACGAACACAGCTGAGAGCCTGAGGGAGACAAGCAAATTTCAATGCAAAAAAATGTGGTCAAGGCAATGCACCTGGTGCCGAGAGAGTGACACAGAATGCTCCGCCGAGGGAGAGAGGTCAGGAAGGTCCTCCAGAGACAGTGGTGGCTAAGCTAAGACATAAAAGAAAAGTGGGGATGATCTCAGCAAAGTAGGGGGCAGGGAGGAGGGGAGCAGAGAGGTGGCGCACGCTGGGACCAGAAATTGGGCTGTGGGCATGATGGATGTGCTGGATTTGAAATGTCAGCCACCCAAGATAAGTAGGCAAGAGGACACACAGTTCAGATGTGGACAGACCTCAGTGACTCATCGGCACATATGCGGCAATCCAAGGCCTGAGCGTAAAGGAGCTCACTTGGAAGGAAGAAGAGGCCGGGACTGGAGCCTTGAGAAACTTCAAAAGTGAGTGGCCAGTGGGTGGGAGGGCCAGCTGCAAAGCAGCAGAGGCGCAGTGGCCAGAGATGCGGGAGCCGCATTCTGGTACAGAGAGGAGGCCCATAGCGGGCCGACAAACCTGCCGGGCGTGGAGCAGAGCAGGAGGCTGACGCAGCACAGTCCACAGGAGCACAGGCCTTCCTACGCAGGAGGTTTCTGTTTGCCCAGCCGTCAGTTGCACGGTCTCATGAATCTCAGTTTCAATTTAATCTCTAAACAGTGCCTGGGGCGCCTGAGTGGCTCAGTAGGTTGAGCGTCTGCCTTTGGCTCGGGTTATGATCCCAGAGTCCTGGGATTGAGCCCTGCAGTGAGCTCCCTGCTCAGTGGGGAGTCTGCTTCTCCCTCTCCCTGCCACTCCCTGTACTTGTACTCTCTCTCTCTCTCTCCACCCCTCCCCATTAAATAAATAAATAAATAAATAAATAAATAAATAAATAAATATCTTCAAAAAAACAAAAACAGTGCCTAAGATGTCTTCAGGAAAACTTCATTGTATCCCCAGAAAGCTATTGGTCACATCCCAAGAAACATGATCACAAGACAGCAGACACTGTCAAACAGCTTCAAAGTCACGAGTGTCCAGGCCATGGCGCAGGAAGAGGGCAGAGCCCAGCGGTCCCCCTAAACGGAAGGAATGGAGCTGAGAGTTCAGGGAGGTCGAAGGGGCTGGAGTTTGTGGGGAAGAGAACAGACAGCTAGAGAAGGAGCGCAGGAGACGCCCAGGAGCTCCCCGTGAGTCTTCTGCTGAGTACTGATCAGCAGATGAATGCTGAGAAACCACCCAAGGAAAGGGAAGGAACAACTCCCAGAGCTGTCACAGGGCTGGGAAGACTTCACAGTCTCCCTAGCAGAGTGGGACGACCTCAGGACCCACAGCGTGGGAAGGGCACCACCTTAGTAAGGGGGCGCATTGGTCCTAAACTAGGGCTTCTCGGCCTCCACCCTCCAAGCCTTCCAGGCAAGACTCAGAAGGATCAGACTGTTTCCAAGCGACCTAAGTGCACCCAGAACAAAGCTCAAAAATGTTTAAAAGAATGCCAAGAAATCCAACCCCCCTGCCGCCACTGCATGCAGAGAAACAAATGGGAGGGGAAAAAAACCAAAATGAAGAGAAAATAGAAACAACAGGAAGAGACTCAGAACTGACACAATTTGAGGGACACTGAAATGGCTATAAACATACAGCATATGTTCAAGAAGGCGGAGGAGGGCATGACCATGCTAAGGAGAAATACAGAAAATCCTGCAAATGGAGAAAAATGCGCATGTCTGAGATGACAGGTACACTGGACGGGAGAATGGACACTGCAGAAGAGACGAGTGACCTTAAATATAACAAAGCAAGTATCCCAAATCAAACAGAGAGAGAAAACAAAAACAAAAAAAGAACAAAGCACTTGGGGGTATGGGATGACTCAAGCAGCCCCGTATAGATGTGCTTAGACTCCAAGGACAGTGGGATGAACAGAGAAGAGCTTTGAAGAAATAATGGCAAAAAGATTCCAAATTTGATAAAAACTAAACACAAAGATCCAAGAAACTCAATGAACCCCGAAGACCATAAACATGCAGAAAACTACATCACAGCACATGAGCGAGCACCATAATCAGATTGCTTAAAAACAGTGACGGAAACCAAGTTCCTCAAGGCTTAGATCTTAATGATTTTCTGAAGTTGAGGGGGGTATACATTTACAAGTAGATGGCTAAAATACTTCTCTTTACATTAAAAGACATTCATTCTGAAAAGCATAGGATATGAGCTTCATATTTTTTTTTATTAGGAGGCTCCAATGTAGGGCACAAACTCATGACCCTGAGATCGTGACCAGAGCTGAGATCAAGAGCCGAATGCTTAACCAACTGAGCTACCCAGGCACCCCACAGGCTTCATTTTAGGGATTTTTTTTTTCCTTCTTTTTCAGAAGACTGCCCCTAAGAAATACTTCTAACGTTGTTTTAGTTTTATAATTACTTTTAGTTTCCTTAAAAACATAATCAGGGTGCCTGGGTGGCTCAGTGTGTTAAGCCTCTGCCTTCGGCTCAGGTCATGATCTCAGGGTCCTGGGATCGAGCCCCGCATTGGGCTCTCTGCTTGGCAGGGAGCCTGCTTCCTCCTCTCTCTGCCTGCCTCTCTGCCTACTTGTGATCTCTCTCTCTGTCAAATAAATAAATAAATCTTTAAAAACATAATAAAAAATCCAATATCCCAAATAGTTTTGTATATGACATGCATAATATATATTAATCCCGATTTTTCTGTTTTTTTCTTAATAAAGGTGCCTGATACAGTTTTTTAACAGACTATGGAAGTAGTCTGAGTTCAAGTCCCAGTTCTGCAATTACTTGCCCTTAAGTAGGCTCTGACCCTTATTTCCTCATCTATAAAACAGGAACACCACCGAGTTTGCAAGTAGTAAGTATTTAAGACAATTATACGAGAATTGAAAAGGGAACATACATAAAGCATCCAGCTGAGCTGTTAGCTCATAGCAGGGCCCCAGTTAAATGGTTTTTGTCTGCCCTTATAGAATAGTAGAATTTTCACCTCTTCAAAGAAGTTATACTATAATTAATTCAAAGGATTTATACATTCTATATGCTGCTCTTAGAAGGAAGTGACACTTCCATAAATGTTTCAGGTATGGTGAAGAAATTAGGCAATGGGCAGGAACTCTTTCTGCTCACGTGTCCTGTCCCCACGCTTTAACAAAACCACCATTCTGCTCCCCCCGCAAAAGGAAGGGAGGAAGGAAGGAAGGAGGGAAGAAAGAAAGAAAGATTAGGCAACTTACCTAAAAAATATAAGTGCATTTTGAAAAAACACAGCTAGTCCTGGATAAACATCGGTATCTGCACAAAGGAAAACGCATTAGAAGATTACACAAGGCAAACGGCAGTGACAAAGTATTTGTGCCACTCATAATGACACGCTCTGCATGTTAGAAACTACGACTATTATTCATGAATGCTAAGAAATCTGTCATGAAATTGAAGGAAGAAAATGTCAGTCTCGTTCTCCCAACACAAAGGACTGTTCTCATTCTGGATAAAAGACAGTGAAATTCATAGTTTTTTTTTGTCTAAAGTAACTGTTATGCTTGTAGCTGAGCCAGAACTCTGAGGAAACAGCAGCCACTTCTCCCTTTCCTTTCCACAGTCAATACAGCGCCCTCCCCTTCATCCGTGGTTTCACCTCCTAAGGCTTCACTTCTCCGTGGTCAACCGCCTGCAGAAGCAGACCATCCTCCTTCTGATGTATCATCGGAAGGTCAACAGTAGCCTAAGGTATGCCGCATGCCTAGGGCACTCACCTCCCTTCACCTCATCACACGGACATGTTATCATCTCACATCATCACCAGAACAAGAAGGGTGGGTATGATAACAAGGTATTTTGAAAGGGAGACCACAGTCACATAACCTATTACAGTATACTACTATAATTGTTCCATTATATTATTAGTCACTGTGGTTAATCTCTTATTGTGCATAATTTATCACTTAAACTTTATCATAGGTCCTTATGTATGGGGAAATCATAGTATAGATAGGGTTCAGCACTACCCACAGTTTCAGGCATTTGTGGGGGGTTCTTGGTATGTAACCCTTGCAGATAAGGGGGGGGGGACCTACTGTATAGAAATACAAAATGTTAGAAAGGTACACATTAAATTCTGGATGATTTAATAGTCTGTAAACTTATTTTCTTTGATGAATTCAGGAATTTTATTGTGCAATTGTAACAGATACACAAAGGATCATTTTAATTCATCATCATGTCCTTTCATTGAATCTCCCCTGGAGAAAACAGTTACTATCTTCAAAGGAAAAGAAAAAAAATTGGAAATTATTTAAATTTTTATGGATTTTTAACTGTCCATTAAAAATACTAGATTTGGGTGCCTGGGTGGCTCAATGGGTTTAAAGCCTCTGCCTTGGGCTCGGGTCATGATCCCGGGGTCCTGGGATGGGGCCCCACATCGGGCTCTCTGCTCAGCAGGGAGCCTGCTTCCCCTCCACCCCGCCGCCTGCTTCTCTGCCTACTTGTGATCTGTTAAATGAATTTTTAAAAAATTAAAAAAAAAATACTAGACTTGATGGGAAAAAAAAAAACCTTCAATTTTTAGCTTTCTATATCATAGCAAACAGTACAACAGCATGGTCAAGAGCTCCAAGTCTAAGCCCAGATCCCTGGATGTGAATCCCACCTCCACCAAGTGACTAAATGTGTGACCATGGGCAAATTGTTTAACCTTACTATGCCCTTAATTTCCTCATCTGTGAAGTGGGCATTATAACAGCACCGACCCCACAGAGTGTGGGGAATGTACGACTGTGTACGTGCTTAGAACAGTACTTGGCCCATAAAGTGATATATAAATGTTAGCTGCTGTTACGATTAGTAGTAGCTCAAAAAGATCTGTACAGCAAAAGATCTGAAATATATGTTAGAAATGTCCTCTGAAGTAAAAGCATTCAAAGTATTCAAAAGCATTCAAAAGTATTCAGAGTTTATAAACAGAAAAGTCTAAATACTGAGCACTGCTGTAGAAATATAAAGATGAAATCCATAACTGAGAAATTTCTCAATGTGTACTAGTTCTCTAAAAATTAAAATACAACCAATGAGTACACAACCTTTACAAACGTAATACTTCCCCACACACCTTCCAGAAACGATAATTTATACCCATTTTCCTAACAGAAACGAGAAAGTTTCACCTGTTGCTTTAAGTAATTGAGCAAACTTTCAGTAATAGCACTTAGAGTCAGGGATAGAGTGAGCTTAAAACACACTTCCCTATATGATTCCCTTTATACAAAATAAGCCAATCTACAAAGACAGGAAGTAGATTAGTGGTTGCCAAGGGCTGGTGGAGAAAGGTAATAGGAAGTGACTGCTAATGGTAAGGAGTTTCTTTTTGGGGTGATAAAATGCTCTAAAATTAGATTGTGTGAGGCACCTGGGTGGCTCAGTCGGTTAAGTGTCTGCCTTCAGCTCAGGTCATGATCCCAGGATTCTCGGATCATGCCCCATATCAGGCTCTCTGCTCAGCGGGGAGCTTGGTTCTCCCCCTCCCTCTGCCTGCCACTCCCCCTGCTTGTGCTCTCTGTCAAATAAATAAATAAATCTTTAAAAAAAAAAAGCACTTTCCTTCGTATGAGCTTCATACTAGAACTGTGTACTCCATTAGTATTTTTAATTAACTAAAGTAACACTTTTTTTTTTTTTTGAAAGATTTTATTTATTTATTTGACAGATAGAGATCACAAAGTAGGCAGAGAGGCAGGCAGAGAGAGAGGAGGAAGCAGTCTCCCTGCTGAGCAGAGAGCCCGATGCGGGGCTCGATCCCAGAACCTTGGGATCATGACCTGAGCTGAAGGCAGAGGCTTTAACCCACTGAGCCACCCAGGCGCCCCAAGTAACACTTTATTTTTAAATAATCTTTGCACCCAGTGTGGGGCTTCACACTCACAACCCTGAGATCGAGAGCTGCACAACCTCCCAACTGAGCCAGGCGCCCGTAAAATAACACATTTTAGATATACTTGATGAGCAGCGTTATTTAAACAGTAGTCAACCACTTATACTGACTTACTTCGCACCAAGTGAAAGACAAAAGTTTCCAAAGATTGAACTAGGAACTGAAAGGGTCCTACCAGGAGTATTAAAAGGTCAGCTGTGGGTAAGGACAAGGAGAGGTGACAGTTAAGCAGAGTGACAAAGAGATTCTGGGGGGAGAGGGAACAGAAGATGAGTAAGTGGTGTTACGTGTTATCTGAAACAGACTCCTGTCTTTGGAGTGAAGGGAGGGTATCGGGTTCTTCTGGGCCTGGGTCCTGCCTTTCGACCCTGCCCTGGAGGAAAGCTATGGTGCCTGGAGCAGCCACTCGGAACAGCGCCCTGAGAGCTCACGCCACAGAGTGGAGTGAGCATCAAGTTTCTGCACGAAGGCTACACACACATACTGTCTTACTCCTAAAAACCTGCCCTGTGTCTATGCCTGAAAAATTCCAGACTAAGCTGGAGAAAGGGGGCATCAGCAGAACGATATTGGGGTACACACCCCTGAGTGGAAATCCTTGAAAGTATGTTTTGGAATTCGAAAATTTTCACATTTAAGAATGGTTAACACAGGGCCATAAATATTAGAGAGGCCCCCAGCTCTGTTTGGACCAGCATCCACAGTCTAATACAACCACATTCCAGCAAGAAAACGTGTGAACACTTACTCAACGGAATAAAGACCACGAGGAGCCCCTTGTCAACTCGGGTCAGATGTCGCTGCCAAGCTGACTGTGAAAACACCTGACTTGCAGCACTTTGTGGATTTTAGAATTATGTATAAGGGACGGAGATCTGTACAGGTTTCCCACTTCACCGCTTAAAACCCTCAGTAAATGGGCCTTCTAGTATAAGGCCCAGCTCCCCAGGGTAAGGAAGGAAATCAGACACTCTAGAGATGGCCGAGAGTTACCTGGTCTTGTTGGTGGCTTAAATTCCGCAACCAGGCTATCCCACTGCACTCAAGGACCCCAACTTATGTATCTCCGAGCTAAGTGAACAGTTACACTAAATTTTACTCCCGGTGGAGTTGACGGAGTAAGCTAAAGGTAAAAGACATATCTGAGTCTCTGTGAAATAAAGGAGGAAAAAAGTACTTACTTTGGGTGACATATGCACCAAAGAGAATCCACATGGAAGCAATAAGCGACCCAAACATCAACATGAAACCAATGAAGAGCCATACTCGAGCACCTGCACGAAGAAAAGGCTTTAACACTCCGCTCATTGCTGCAGCGGACTCAAGAATGCAGAACACCAGAAACACTGTGACCCTAATACCTGGCGTGCATACCAAGGGCAGTCTCGTATTTGCATACACCTGCTGTTAACAATTAACTGAATGAAGATTTTAAAAACGAAACAAACAACTAAAAAGGGTTAAGCCCCACTTGGGGGGAGAAAAAAGGAGAATCACCTTTCTGCTGGCTAGAGAAATTAATACCCTAGCAAACTGCACTGGGTGGGGGGTGGTTTCTGAGTAATTCTATTACTAAATTGAGTAATTGATTAATTAAATCCTAAAGCTTTGCGGGGGGAGTAACCTGGAATCCAAGAGCCTCTGATTTTAAATAGTAACATTTTATTTATAGACTATGAGCAGCAAAACCTGACTAAAATAGTACTTTTGGCGGTAACTTTAACTTCGTTAAGGATTTAAGTAACACCAAATATTTTTCAAGTTAATAAAAAACATCTATCTAATCCTAACTAGTCCTATAAAGAGACTTTCTTCTCCTGCTGACAAATCTCCCTCTGCCAGTGCACATTAAAACTCACAGTGCCTTTACCTGTTCTTCCCAAGCAGCCGCTTTCATAGCTGTCCCCCCGCACCTGAGCGTTGGACACAGCATTTATCCTGGAACAACACAAAATCATCTCATGAGCTTGAGTGCTACTAAACCAGTCGCAGATATTTACATATATTTAAAGAGAAACATTCCCTAATTCCAGTCAGTATCTGAATAACTGAACATATCTTTTAATTTAACAGCTATCCTAGTGGACAGAAATGTTACAGGACTCTGTACCTAAACTACACCCAGAAAACATCCTTAATTTGAAGAAATTACTATTCACTTGTCTCCAAAGATTACAAAATAGGGGCCGATTTTCTGATTTCTTTGCCTATTTTACATTCATATGCGAGTGACTCAGTGTGAGTCATCGTATTTTAAGGTTCTCCTTACAATCAAGAGTTAAGTTCCTCTCTGTGTTAAAAGTCAAGTGATTTTCCCTGATCCATTTCTCAAAGTCACACATTTGATCTCTGTATAATAAAGCAGGCCCACTTTACTCAGCCTCTCTTGCCATTTTTTATTAGAGCAAGATGCATTCATAGTAGAAATGTAGCCCCTTCTCAGCAACCTTAATGGATGTAAGTAGTTCCATCCTCTAAAATCTTTTTTGGAAATATTTTATTTATTTTTTTAGAGAGAGAGGGCATGAGCAGGATGGGAAGGGACGGCGGGGGGTAATCTTAAGCAGGTTCCACAATGGGCTCCCAAAGGGGGCTCAATTTCACGACCCTGAAATCATGACCTGAGCCAAAAATAGTCAGACACTTAACAGACTGAGCCACCCAGGCACCTGCACAATTTAACTTTTATAACTCTCCACAGTATAAGAAAATTACAAAATCTTAATGTTTTAACATAATCTTTAATATTAATAAAAGATATCCAAAGAAAGTTTCCAAAATCTTTTATGAAATGAGATTTAACAGATAAACCCAAAAATGACTTAATAAAAAAGAAAAGTCACAGACCAATCTTATTAGAAGCCAATTCTGCCCTTCCCCCAGCTACTGGAAAACACAGTCAAACAATACATTAAAAAAATATATATATACTCCATGCTAAAAGTTCCATGTGTTACAATACTCAAGGAATGATTCACCACTAAAAAGAAATCTAGAAATGTAAGATATTTCATTAAATCCAAGATGCCAATGATTTTTTTTTAAATGCATGAATATTTTTTTTACCCAGAAAAAAAAATATCATTTGTGGGGCGCCTGGGTGTCAGGCTTTCTGCTCAGTGGGGAGCCTGCTTCTCCTTCTCCCTCTGCTGCTCCCCTGCTTGTGCTCTCTCTCTCAAATAAATAAGATCTTAAAAAAAAAAAAAAGCACCCTCATATTCAGAAATACTCAAATACAAAAAATAATCCTGGGACCAAAAAAACCGCAGTGACTGACCAGTTTAACAAGAGTGTAAGAAGAAAAATCATGTGATCATCTCTACAGATGCTAAAAAGATACGTAACAAAATTCAACACTCTTTTTTTTTTTTTTAAAGATTTTATTTATTTATTTGACAGAGATCACAAGTAGGCAGAGAGGCAGGCAGAGAGAGAGGAGGAGGCAGGCTCCCCGCCGAGCAGAGAGCCAGAGATCATGACCTGAGCCGAAGGCAGAGGCTTAACCCACTGAGCCACCCAGGTGCCCCAATACTCATTCTTGATAAAAAAAAAAAAAAATCTTCACAAAATAGGGAAAAATATATATATTTACCATGTTAAAGAATCCACTGATAAATTAAAAGGTTATTCCAGATAGCATTAAACTATATGGCAAACATGTCTTTTGGAGATAAATCTTGACCTTGAATTAAGAATTGCCTTCATACTTACATGAAGAAAGCCAATGTGGAGAACACGCCACACGTGTGAAAGGCATGGTTCAGCTGCTCTGGCTTAGGGTACACCACAGCCGCGTCAATCATTATCCACCAACCTGTAAAAAACTTGCGCAAGAGCCCAAGTCACTAAAATAACACGAACACTTGGCTCAGCATGACGTTACCTGCTCTGAAATATTCCTGTGTTTCTCCAGACCATGTAAATGAAACATAAGGTATTTCTAGTTTGAGCTCTGGATGTGGAAATATAAAAAATAAGAATCTTCGGTTTACCTACTCTTGATAGCATTTGAGGTGAACTTACCTAGTCAAATCTGTGTAAGATTCTGAAGTTCTGCTCTCAATGCAGGATAAAAAATTTGTTTTCTAAAATGAATTATCTGCTTCTTTGGCCCACCATAAATTACCGGCACTTAAGTTCTCTCTTTTAAAAAAGATTTTATTTATTTGAGAGAGACAGAGAGGGCATGTGCACAAGAGCAGGGGGAGGGGCAGAGGGAGAGAGAGACTCAAGCAGACTCTGGCTGAGCACAGAGCCCAGCACCAGGGCCTGATCTCAGGACCCTGAGATCATGACCTGAACCAAAATCAAAAGTCGGATTCCTTTTTTTTTTTTTTTTAGAATTTTTTTTTTTTATTTGACAGACAAATCACAAGTAGGCAGAGAGGCAGGCAGAGAGAGAGGAGGAGGAAGCAGGCTCCCTGCTGAGCAGAGAGCCCGATGCGGGACTTGATCCCAGGACCCTGAGATCATGACCTGAGCCGAAGGCAGAGGCTTTAACCACTGAGCCACCCAGGCGCCCCCAAAAGTCAGATTCTTAATCGACTGAGCCACCCAGGCGCCCCTGAAGCTCTTCTTAACTAACCTCCAGCTAACCAGCTCCCAATTACCTGACGTGTTTCATTCTCTCTGGAGAATATTCCTTTCTGATAGGCCTAAGCTCTTCTGTGTCCACAAATGAGCTGCGTGCTTACCAAGAGTCAGCTGTCAGGTCTCCAAAACTATTTAAGCCTGCCAAGTTTTAATCAATTATGCAGTTTGATTAAATACGGTATAACTGACTGAACATGAGTTTGTAAAATGGCTTTTTTTTAAAGATTTTCTTATTTACTTGACAGAGAAAGACACAGCTAGAGAGGGAACACAAGCAGGGGAGTGGGAGAGGGAGAAGCAGACTCCCCATGGAGCAGGGAGCCCGATGTGGGGCTCAAGCCCCAGACCCTGGGATCATGATCTGAGCTGAAGGCAGACGCTTAACCGACTGAGCCACCCAGGAGCCCCAAAAGTCACATTTCTATGTAAACTAAACTGCAAAGACTGAGAGAAGCTGCTAAACAATTTCATGGAAAAATCAAGTGCAGGTGAGATAACCACAAAAAGCAAAAAAAAAAAAAAAAAAAAAAAAAAAGGAAGCATTACAATTATCTTTAATTCCTGCTCTGGGTTATTTTTTTTCCCCTACTGAACTTCAGATATAGAACTATATACTGAAAGAGATACATTTTTTAACTGTGATCGATCCTGCAATTTGCTTCAGAAATGCAGTGAGGGCAGGGAGTGGGCAATGGACCACTAAAGCAAGACTGGTCGTGGGTCGTTCTGAAGCTGGGCTGTAGGAACATGGGGTGAGCAGGGCTCCCTACACTATTCTCTTTTTGTTAACTGTGTATGCTCGACATGTTTTATAATAAAAAGTCGAAAAAGAAAAAAAAGGAAGAAAATGAGGCAAGAGTTTCCTTCACAGACTTCTTCGTCTCACTCCCCATCAGAGCTGCCGCTGGGCCCAGGGGGCGCTGGCGATCCTTCCCTAGAGCACCTCGGGGCTTCAGTTCTAATGCAGCCTCATCCATGCTGCTGTCTACATGTCCTGAATCTCGCTGAGTCACCACACTATTGGTTACCAAATTCTGAGCCTCTGAGGAGCTTACAGGACTAAAACATATTGTATCATTGGGTGCCTAGGTGGCTCAGTGGGTTGGGCGACCGCCTTTGGCTCAGGTCATGATTCTGGAGTCCTGGGATCGAGTCCTACATCAGGCTCCCTGCTCGGCAGGGAGTCTGCTTCTCCCTCTGACCCTCCCCCATCTCGTGCTCTCTATCACTCATTCTCTCTCAAATAAATAAATAAAATCTTTAAAACAACAAAAAAAATTGTATCATTAACTTAAAAATGCTACCGCTTATGATTATTATGATTATGTATTATCACTTGAGCTGAAGAAAAGATACTAAGCTTAAAAATTTACAAAGTCAGGGGCGCCTGGGTGGCTCAGTCGGTTAAGCAACTGCCTTCAGCTTGGGTCGTAATCCTAGGGTCCTGGGATCGAGTCCTACTCGGGCTCCCTGCTCAGTGGGGAATCCGCTTGCCCTCTCCCTCTGCCTATCACTCTGCCAACTTGTACTCTCTCTCTCTGTGTCAAATAAATAAAAACCCTAAAAATTTAAAAAAAAAAGTACAAAGTCAAAAGAATGCAGGGCCTACCATGTTTTGTTCAGTAGTATCTGGAACTCTAATTACTCATACAAAGTAACAGATTCATGCCCCAAAGGAATCGACATTAATTTTCTAGGCAAAGCATGAGGCAGCAATGCCAACAAGCTGGCTTTTCCACTTACCAATATTCCCGCCACCACAGAAGCCACGGCGTTTCTCCTCTCACTCCAGTCAATACATTCGCATTCTGGCCAGCGGAAATTATCAAGGAAGCCTGCCATTTTCACCCCGTAGGCATGGATTTTTCATTAAACTCTATATTCTACAACTAAAAAGACAAATAATAATAATAATAATAATAATCCCTTTGAGGAAATGTTTTTAAAACGTGAAATATCTTTTCCTTTCTTTTTTTAAACAGAAATCTGCTTTCGGTCCAAACCTAGACTTAAGAAGAGAAATTCAGTCCTTCCATGACTACTGACTGACATGTAGGTAGGACTGTGTTGGGACACAAGGGGGAGCTTGCTATTTACCAAATGAGCTGCTGGTTTTAAAATGTGTCTGCAAATTCTTTGACCCTTCCACTTGACTGAGAAATCGATCTCTGTCCCTCCCCTTGAATTCAGGCCAACAGTAAAAACCGGCTCAGCAACAGCACGGCAGACGGGATGCTATTTAACTTTTGCCATACAACTTCTAGGACTAGATGGAAAAAGGCAATGCAGCTTGTAGCTGGTTCTCTGGAACACGGGTACCAGATTTCCGAGTTGCCATGTAAAAATCCAAGGTCACAATGCTGTGAGGAGACCATGTACAGGCGTTCTGGCCTGTAGTTGGCCAACAGTTCCTGGCCAACAGTTGGCCTCCCCTGCCAGAAGCATGAGTAGCCTCTTCTAGGAGACTGCTGTTCCAGCTACTGCACCCCATCTGGTACGCCCCCTCTGGTACCCAGACTTCCGGCTTTACCCAGTGAAGCCCCAGATATATGGAGCACAGACACCATCCTGGCTGTGCCCTTTACCAACTCCTGACCCACAGTAAACCATAAGCATAATTAAATGGCTATTTTAAAGTACCAGGCTTTGGAGTTACCAGGAATGCAGCAATCGATAACTAGAAGGAGAAAAATCATGTGCATAAAGAACTATAAGGGTGCAACATGTTGGGGGAATTTTCAGAAAAAGTACATTCACATGAGGTGATCCAGGAACACCTTAAATTCCAAAAAAGAAGGAGGGGGGTACTCTTTGAAAGCACTGAAGAGTGCTGAAAAGCAGGCAGAAAATGGAGGGGATTTACCCTTGAAAGAAAACACAATGAGTAAGACCCACTTTTATACAGCTTTTTCCTCTGAAGAACCCCTAGCCTCCCACTCCAAGCCCAGGTAAGTCTCTGTGGTACACCGTGGCTAAAACTTGACCAAAAATGCCACAGTCTTTTTGGTTTGAGGTATAAGAGGGTGGAGTTCAGCATTATTGGAGCAATTGGGAATTGAGAGAGGAAATCTTGGAAAGGGCTGAGTTACAGGAAGGTGCCTCAAACACTTTAATATAAACTCTCTTTAAATACCTAACGCCCCCAAACAGGACACCCATGGAGGAAACTGCAAGAAACTCAGCAGAAAAAAAAAAAAAAAAATAGCAGGAAGGCTAAATGAACTAAGCAGAGTTCCCCTGCACTCACTACAAGATATTTTAGAGCTTGAGTTCCACCAAGTCAAAGATCAGTAAACACCTTGGCATTACTCTAACAAGGTGTAACACCAAGGGTCTACAAGTTCAAGGTGGTCAGCCAGCATTTTATCCACCTGTTAGTACAAGAACTGACACCCTTCAGATGAAGATAACTGAATTGAGAGTGTCTATAATGAATGTATCACCCACAATGTCTACCATGTAGTAAAAAATTATTAGACATTCACAGAAGCAGGAACAATGTGATCTATTTTCAAAGAGTAAAGAAAAAAAAAGTCAATAGAAATAGACCCCAAAATGACACAGATGTTGAAATTAGCCAACAAAGACTTTAAAGCTACCAATATAAACACATTCAAAGACTTAAAGGAACATGGTCCAAATAACTAAACTGATGGAGGATCTCAGTGGACAATTTTTTTTAAGATTTTATTTATTTATTTGACAGACAGAGATCACAAGCAGGCAGAGAGGCAGGCAGAGAGATGGGGGGAAGCAGGCTCCCCACTGAGCAGGGAGCCTGATGCAAGGCTCCATCCCAGGACCCTGAGACCATGACCTGAGCCGAAGGCAGAGGCTTAACCAACTGAGCCACCCAGGTGCCCCCTCAATGCACAATTTTTAATGTAAATTTTAGAACTGAAAATGATCATCTTTGAAATTCTAAATTAACTAAATGGGCTTATGAGGAGATTAGAGACAGCAGAAGAAAAGGGTAGTAAACTTGAAGATCAAAAGAAATTATCCAGTCTAAAGAACAGGATTTTTTTTTAAGGGATTTTTCTTTCTTTCTTTCTTTCTTTTTAAAGATTTTATTTATTTGACAGAAAGAGAGAGAGAGATCACAAGTAGGCAGAGCAGCAGGCAAAGAGAGAGGAGGAAGCAGGCTCCCTGTTGAGCAGAGAGCTCAACAGAGGGGCTTGATCCCAGGACCCTGAAATCATGACCTGAGCTGAAGGCAGAGGATTAGCCCACTGAGCCATCCAGGTGCCCCTCTTTCTTTTTATTTTATTTTATTTTATTTTATTTTATTTGAAAGAGAGAGAGAGAGAAAGAGCACAGCATGGGGAGTGGCAGGCAGAGGGAGAGGGAGAACAGACTCACACTGAGCAAGGAGCCCAATGTGAGGCTCGGTCCCAGGACCCTGGGATCATGATCAAAGCCCAAGGCAGACACTCAACCAACTGAGCCACCCAGGTGCCCCTAGGGATATTTTTTTCTGAGAAAAAAAATGTCCAGAGCTCCTGCAAACTAAGGATCACTAGTAACTGATCCAATATATGTTTAACTGGTTCCCAGAAAAAGACAGAATGAGGAAAAAAATATTTGAAGAAATAAAGGCTGATAATTTCTCAAGTCTGGTGATAAATATTAATTTATAAATCCAGGAAGCTCAGCCTTTAACCTCAGGTTAAATAGAGGAAACGTCATAATCAAATTGCTAAAAATCAGAAATAAAAGAGGGGCGCCTGGGTGGCTCAGTGAGATAAGGCCTCTGCCTTTGGCTCAGTCATGGTCCCAGGGTCCTGGGATCGAGCCCCACATCGGGCTCTCTGCCTGGCAGGGAACCTGCTTCCTCCTCTCTCTCTGCCTGCCTCTCTGTCTACTTGTGATCTCTGTCTGTCAAATAAATAAATAAAATCTTAAAAAAAAAAAAAAAAGATTCTCTACCTCCCTCTGCTCTTCTCTCTTCCCCCACCTGGTGCATTCTCTCTCTCTCTCTCAAAACAAAATATTTTCAAAAAGGGAGCATGACAGCCATTCTACTATCAATCTACCCAAAAGAAATAAAAAGATACATGTACACAAAAACTTGAATGCAAATGTTCATAGTAGCATTAATCATAACAGCCAAGAAGTACAGCAATCCAACATACATCAACTGATGAACGGACACATAAAATGTGGCATATCATACAACGGAATACAAATTCAGTGATAAAAGGGAACGAAGTATTGATATATTCTACAACACAGAGGAACCTCAAAAACATTATGCTAAGTGAAAGACATGAGGCCACATCTTGTATGATTCCATTTATATGAAATGTCCAGATGAGGCAAATCTGGAGACAGAAAGTAAATTTGTGGTTGCCTAGTGACAGTGGGGAAGAGTGGAATAGGGAGTCACTGTTAATGGATACAAGATTCTAAAATTAGACTATGGTCAGACATCACAGGGGAAGGGAAGAGAGAGACCAAGAAATAGAATCTTAACTACAGAGAACTGACTGATGGTCACCAGAGGGGAGGTGGGTGGGGGGGAAGGATGAAATAAGTGATGGGGATTAAGAAGGGCACTTGTCCTAATGAGCGCTGGGTATTGTACAGAAGTGCTGAATCACGAAATTGTACACCTGAAACTAATAATACACTGTATGGTAACTAATGAATATAAATAAAAACTTTAAAAAATAAGATTGTGGTGATGACTACACAACTCTGTATATAAACTAAAAAATCATTGAATTGTACCCTTAAAATTGGTGAATGTTATCATATGTATATCTCAATAAAGCTTTTTTGTAAAAATGAGGATAAAATAAAAATATTTTCAGGTTAACAAAATCTGAGATAATCCATCACTAGATCTGCACTAAAAATAAAGCTAAAGGAAATTCTTCAGGCTGAAGGGAAATGACACCAGATGAGTCTAAGATCTGCAGGGAGAAACGAAGAAAACCAGAAATGATCACTATGTGGGTAAACATAAAAGACCATCTTTTCTTCTTTTACTTAAAAGACAACTATGTAAAGCAAAAATTTTAACACTGTATAACATGTCCACAAAGATGAATTTATTTCTAAACAGTATGTTAGTTATATTTTCGAATAATATGCTTAAATATGGATTCAGGTGAAATACCTCTAAATTTAAAGTAATGTGTCAACTTAATAAGTACTAACCAATATATTAAAAGTACATTTAATATATTCTGAAATAAGTATAATTAATATATTCTTCATAGAAGGTCCAAATATTGGAAACACAGGCTGGGAGACAGTATTTGCAAAACAAATATCTGACAAAGGGCTTGGATCTATAATATAGAAAGAACTAAGCATTAGTAATAAGATAAAATATAGGCAATAAAAAGTACAAAATACTTAAGCAGACTTGAAATAGGCAAAAGACTTAAAAAGACAATTTATGACCAAGAAGCACATAAAAAGGTATTCAACATTGTCAGTCAACAGAGAAGTGCAAACTAATGAAATAACATCTCACATCCACTAGAACCACAACTCAACCAACAACTCTAAATGGGGATGAGGTTGTAGAGCAAGTGGAAATCTCATAAAGTTTTGGCATTAGTTTCTTATGAAGTTAAAAATAAACCTTCCTGTAACCCAGCAATTCCATTCCTAGGTATTTGCCAAGGGAAGTAAAAATACATACCCACACATAAAAAGACTTAAAGAAGAAAGTTTTCAGCAGTTTTATTCATTACAGCCCCCAAATTAAATGATCTAAATGTTCATCAATAGATCGATGGATAAACAAGTTATGACAGAGGGAGTGGCTCCCTGAGTGGCTCAGCTGGTTAGGCGTCTGCCTTCAGCTGAGGTCATGAGCCTGGGGCGCTGGGATCTAGCTCAGTGGGAAGACTGCTCCGCCCCCTCCCTCTGC